GTATTAAAAAAAAAAAACCCCCACGTAATCTGTAATTTTCAATTTTTAGATTTAATTAGATTCTTTTGTCTAAACCCATAAAATTGTATTTTATAAAGAAAATTATTCATTTTGGTAGTTTGTGTTATATTAAAATATGTGTTTAGTACTCTGTGTTTTTTATAATTTCATATAAGTTTCTCAACGTTTTAGAAAATAGTTTTTTGGTATCCTGAAACAGATTTTTAGGATTTGAAATGTCAAATTGACCTTTAACATTAATTAATTAGAAACTAATATTTTTTAAACATATTTTAAAAATGCTCTAAATTAAAAATTGAAAATTTTTAAATTTTATAGTTTTTTAAAATATTTTTAATATGTTTTTAAAAAAAATCTGAATAAATTAAGTAAAGAGTATAAATGACATTTCACGTCTCAAAAAACTATCATAGGGTAATAAAAAATTATTTTCTAAAACGTTAAGGTGTCTGCATAAAATTATAAAAACAGAAGATACCAAACACATATTTCAATATAATATAGGGTACCAAAATGAAATTTTACCCTTCATAAAATCTATCATTTTCTTTTCAAAAGTACATTTAAAAAAAAATTAAGGATACTTCTCTGTTGGGATTTTTCTCAAAGACTCTTGAGATCATGACACGTGTCCCAGAATGAAACTAAAATAAGGAATCAGAACCCAAGTCGAATGTGTTAACCAAACTATAGATTGAATCCCACCTCGATCGAGGGAGGACGCGACCTAAATTGAGGTGGACTGACCTAAACCGAGACTGAGGTCGACAGAGAACTCCCATGTAACGAGATCAATGCAGATCGAGATCGAGGGAGATAATAGGGGTGACTTATGACAGAATGAGACTCTTCGTACAGTGACACACGCCCCATTATCATCCCTAATAAATGCGCCCAACTTGAGCGTGACACCCGTAATGGTGAATAACGGAATAGAAAGTGACATTTCTCATGGAGGAAAACCTCCGAAGGTATTCCAAAGATGAGACATCCTTGGAGAAACCTTAAAAGGAAAGGTATGAGACGTGTCATGATCAAGGTGAATCAAGAATATTCATCTGATTATGACTTGCGTCATATAAAGGGGAAGTGATGAGAACAATGAGGGAGCCGATCCTTAGAGAATTGGAAGAGACATTCTATTAAATTATCTTCTTCTTTGTCTTAATTATTTCATTCTCTTTAGTCCATTTTGGGATACTTACCTGACTTGAGCGTCATAGTGTTTTCTGCAAGACAACTCCCGGCGCAATCAAGGAGTGAGAGAAGGACGGCGAGAAAGGAGATCCCACCACCGAAAATTGATGTTTGGAAATTTGTACAAACATTTGAGATGTCAAATTTGGAAAATTAAGGATACTTCTCCGATATGCTAGCCTTCTAAAAGCCGTAATTATGGCAAATTTGGAAGACAAATCCCATGAATTAGACAGGTAACTTCCATTGAGATGTCGGCAAATAAATTTATCTTTCTCGTGATCAAAAGAAGTCTTTTCCGCAAGTACTTATAAGATTTACATATATTGCAGTCAAAGATTGTCACCAAAAAAAAAAAAAAAAAAAAACCAGAATTTATTATTACTTTTTTTTTTCTCTCATAAATTACCCACTATAATATCTAGGGCCGGCAATATGGGTCATGACACGACGACACGACTTAAAAACGACACGAATTTTGCGGGTTAGGGTTGAGAAAAAAGAAGTTCGGGTCAGAATTGGGTCGACCTGAAATTGACACGAAAAATACTGGTCAATTTCGGGTTGAACCCGCCTAACCCGAACACGACACGAAACTCATAAAAAACTAAAGAATACATATATTTTTCATTACATATTTTAAATTTTATTATGAACTTGTGATATTATGATAAGTTATACTCAAAATCTTATACTATTATTTGCTTAATTTCAATGGATGTTATTGTAATTTAGTGTGTTATAAATTTTAAGTTATTTCTAATATGTAAAAAACTAAATAAAAGTATACAATTTTCGTGTCAATTTCGGATTCACGGGTCAATTTCGTGTCACGGGTCATTTTCGGGTCGTATCGTGTCAATTCGTAAAGTGGTCGTGTCGTGTTCGTGTTGCGGTTTTTAAAAAATTTCGTGTCACGTGTCGTGTTCGGGTTAACTGCAAATTTTAAAAAAATGATTAAAACACGACACGAACACGACACGTGACACGAATTGCCACCCTTAATAATATCCCTACTACTAAGTTAAATAAACCTCATTATTAATTTATATTAATTTAAAAAGTGTTATCTAACAACTTAAGTTACCAACATTATTTTAGGTCAAGCGGCATGGAGTATAACAAGGAGGAGTTTGGATTTGAGAGGACGGATTCGACCTTACATCATATGAAGAAAAAAGCATGTTAGACATAACACACATTATATAATTATATATATATATATATAACAAACAAACTGAAACAACCAACCAACGAAAGGACAATATCCCTGTATTTGCCTGGTTGGAATCATTGTACATGGAAGTACAGACAAGTAGAATTTCTTAATTATTTTTCTCTGAATTAAGGTCTAATATTTTTGAATTTATTTTCATCAGCAAGTGGATCGTTGGGGCACTCTGAGCTAGGAAGTGTATTTTTTCACAGCCAAAAGTAATGATTCTCCACTAAGTCAGCAAAGTTAAAATGTAGTGTTTGCCTCTCTAGAAAATGAAATTTATCTTTAGAAATTCTGCTCTTAATGCTTAGATCATGTAATAGCTTAGAGTCGTTATTTTTGGAGATAGTGTGTGGTCCACATTAATGAATGGCATAAGCCTCCCAATAGTTTATAGTCATAAAAGTTAACCAAGAATATAAATAGATAAGTGTAAAAGGAAGGAGGGGTGGGGGACAAAAGTAGAGAATACGTTTTATTCGCATGCTGGATAATATTATTGACTTTCTAGTCATTAAATATTTGAGTCATTTTCTCTAGTAGCCTCCAGAATATGCATTTGCTTCACGTTAGTCTCTTATAGCTTCGTTTGGTAGGAGGGATGAAGAAGACAAAGGATGTAGAGGATTGGAGGGATAGAGAATGTAAATGATGACAATGATTATAGTAATTATTTATGTTGTTTGGTATGAGAGAGAATTAGTTGAAAGAATAGATTATAATTTTTCATTAGTTAGTATATTGTCTATTTTATTATTTGTTACTAATTACTTTTAAAGGATAAAAATGTTATTTTATTTTAATTTTAAGTGGATTGATTGGATCCTCCTATCGATGGAAGGATCCAAAATGGTGGGTCAGAGGGAGAGTCTCTCCTTTCATTTCTCCTCTTCCTCCTCTTTTTCTTCACAAGAAATTCACCTTCTCTCTCTATCTCTCTCCTACCAAACATACCCCTAAGTTCGTTTTGAAATATACAATTTTAACTCATCTGTTAAGAGATTAGCAAAAAAAACTTATATGTTAATAAACTATCTATTGTCAAACATAAGCGAATACACAAATGACACATGTTTTTAAGAAAGGTAAATTGGTAAAACAAACAAACAAACATTTTGGAAAAAAAAAAAAAAAATATATATATATATATAACATAAAAAACCAATTGTAAAATAAAAATTAAATTGTGTCCCTAATCCAAATCAGGTTCTTTTCGTTTTAGAATAATTATTTTTAGGTCTTTTTTTTTAACCATTTAACCATCCTATAACCCTAACACGTCATCCTTCTGTTACATATTTCTGAAAGAGAATATCAATAGCCAAATGAAAGGAGTACATATCTTTAAGGGCTATTGGAGAAACGAATCTATAATTCAGCTATAATTCATATATAGCTATAATTCATATATCTTCAAATAACAATTTGTAAGTTGATGAAAAAAGGGGTGGTACTAAGCTTCAATGGTGATGTTTTGTATCTTTTCAAAAGGAGATAATAATGAAGTTGTAAGTAACAGTTATTTTTCCACTAATGGTGAGTGGAATAACGGTGAAAGACAATTTATCAAAGCTCTCTCATCTAGCCTTCAGGGTTTCAGCATTAGGCCTGTCAAATATGGTTTGTAATCTTTTAAAATGTAACCATGATGTTTGGTTATGACATGGTGGAGCATTCTACATTTATCTACTCATGTATTTCTCATACAGGGAATATACTCACACCAACAAAGAAGTTTGCGACGACAGTCGTCTTATGCAAAGGCTAAATTTAGAGGTTTGGTTGGCGAGGCAGTTGTCACAGAAGACATGAAGAGCCTTAAATCGTGTTTCCATGTCCAGTTTTGGTTTGAACTTCGAACCTACCCTTGAATATGTAAAAAATCGCAATCGATTGACATTACCGTCGATCAGTTTTGATTCCGACTTGTCAGAATTGGTTTGTTGATGTGGCATTTGTTGTTGATTGGTTGGCTTAAGTTACACAAGTCGTCAAGCCCTACGTCAGGGTGATTTTCATTAGCTGGCCATAGGTTTCTAGCCCTCTACAATGGCATTATGCTGTAAATGCTGCGCGGTAGTTGCTTCTCTATTCCATATTTATTTATTTACTTCTTCTGTATCTTATATAAATAATGCTACAAACGCTAATTCTAGTCTCAACTTTCAAGCTATTATTCTTTTATGAATACGTCTCCAAAAAATTATCACGTAATCTTACATCTACAAATAAAATTATGATAACTCACTCATACGTGAGTCCTAAACTCTAGCCCTATACACAATCTATTTCTAGGTAATGCGTGGATGAAATACTACGGGAAGTCAATAGATGCCACTTAGACATCAAAATTATTGAATTGCCATTAGTGAAGCTGTGAAGGCTTTTCCACATAGCCCCATAAATGAATGATTCTATGTTAGGGTATCCCATCAAATCTATGCAAAATAACATTGTCTCTATGCAAAATAACATTGTCATACTTTTTGAAATTTCTATCTTTGAGTATGATGGAACAGCATCATGGAAGTTCAAATGGTCTGCAGTTTGTGTTTGTGTTGCGATTGGGAAGCTTCTCATTTCATTCAACGCAGAATTTGTTCACATTTTACTGCTCCTCCTTTTTCTTTCAAATTAAATTAAATTAAGCTAACAAACTTCCTAACATAATCATATTACACTTTGCTTCTTGTAACCTTTCTTGGGTAACAAGAAAGTGTGTGGAACCATCAAGCACACCAAACCCTTGTGCCTATATCTATAGCAACCATAGAAAATAAAACTTTCTTACATTTCCAAAAATATAAATGGAAATTAATCAAATGCATTTCTTTGCGGTTGGACTTCTTCCTCGTCCTCTTGAATTGGGTCTGCCCACTGTAGTATCTTTCGGAGAACATAGGGCTTCTACAGATAATTTTTTGGGTGTGTTTGGACATGGATCTGCACCAAAGTTACTGCTCGATACAGTCACTAAACATGTCTGTTGGCCTATGCATTCCTGAAAATACAGATAACAATACACAAGATTAGGCATTTGACTTTGGGGATTGGATACCATCCTTAACCATGTTTAGAGCTATCTTAGAGATGTAAATCCAAATTACCTTCTCTAAGACAGCAAGAGAGCTTGGGGCATGACAGGTTCCGTGCTGGAAGTTCCCACAGCTTCCTGATGGAGTCCCGAAGCTCGCAAACTTAATGGAGGAAATGGAGTACCCAGCTGTGCAATGCAAGCTGATATTGGGCACTGTTAGCCCTTCTTGTCCGCCAATGCTTTCAGCATGCCAGTTATCAGAAACCTTGGCGCAAACAGTTGTCACTGATCTCTTTGCCAGTGTTATCTTTGATACATCCCCACCAATTTCCCCGAAGACTACCAACAGGTTTCTAGATGGCTTCAACCAAGACCGCGGAACGTGGTACCTGACATTACATAGAAGACAAAAATACTAGCAAGCTCACATGCTTTTTTTTTTTTTTTTTGTGATCATATTTCTTATTTGTTTAGTGTGAATGCTTCTTACCACTTCTGAGTTGGTTGGTTACAACCGAATTCGCACTTTGGAGGCCTGAATGTACTGGCATAACTGCATGTATTGCAATTACCATTGGCATGGATAGTCCAATATCTTCCAATGTTCTGACCATTGATCCATATTTGACCCTTCTGCATGCTGCTCATGTCCAAAGCCAAAGGCTCATCTCCTGCGGGTTCATCAAAATAAGCCTGCACATTCAGATAAGAATGTTGGCTAACGAATTGGCTTGTAGTCACTTTGAGATCAAACTCTGAACTGTTTTTCGGCATCAAACGACTCTAAGTTCCAAATCAAATGTTTCCATACCTTATACCACGTCAGTGGCATTTGCTTCTCTGCCACTAAGGATGCCCTCATCCAATCAACAGAGGAAACGGAATCTGGAGAGCCAAGATTCCCGGCTTCCCCTTTTAGCCCGACCTGTATTAAGAAACAACCACAGTTGAGATTTTGAGACTCCTTGAGGATTGAATATGTTGAGTAAGTTACCAAAATTCACTGAAATGAACTTTTACAGACCTTGTAAGACCATCTCTGCCATGATAAATCAATCTTCCCGTGGTCTACGCCTCTTAGGATAACTGGACCTAGTATTCCTGTGTTTTGTGTCTCAAAGTGCAGGCCATTGTTCTTTACCACGATAATAAGCAGAGAAATTTTCAGAAATATAAGGTAAGGAATAAATTCTGGTTTTAGATTTTACAAAATAATAGGAACTTAAGTTTCAAAGAACAATGCTGATTTGTTTAGAGTTTGACCCAACATAAAACTTTCACCAAGGTAACCAATAGAAGTAGTGCTCTAACTTTGGGGCATCATTATCCAATTTTTTATAGACATTAGGAACAAAGAACTAACCGCTAATCCAACAGCTATGCTGAGCAGTGATAGTTTATTAGTTCCGGAATGAAGGTTGACATTTCCTGTAAAAGTGAATCTCCTTTTTTCCCTTGTCCCATAAGCAGAACCTATCATTTGAACACATACCCATCATTTTATTTTCATTTATTTTTTCACTTTTGGTGGCATATTTGTTATTGGAAAAGAATTTCACCATTTTACCTGAAAGTTGTCCATTGACAAAAACATGCAAAGCATCTCCAGCTGATTGTACACTCAGAATGGGATGTTCGCCTTTCTTTAGAAAGGATTCTGATGAATCTATATGAACACTGCAAACATCATGTAACTTAGAAAATGTTCACAACAATTTTCATATGCTCAATCTATAGTGATTTTATCTCACCTTGTTGTGTACCATAAATAATCACTGGAGTCCCTTGTGACATTTAACTGATCTAAAAGCCCAACAACTGTGATTTTTGAATCGTCATCCACTGAAGATATGTCTTCGTTAAAGATCTCCCATGACGCCGACAGAGAATTTGTGGGCAACATTTGTGTTTGTGATGTTTGAACTCTCACCTGCAATTCAGTGACAGATAACTGTTTATCATTTCTGTTTGTAGGAAAAAAAAAAATACAAAAGAAACAAGATATCACTTCATCATTTTCCCTAATGTAAAAGGGCATGTGAAGCTCAAGATGAACTAGAATAATGATTAGACAGAGTCTCCTCCGAAGAACATTATAACAGCAAAGGAAAATGCACATCATGAACCAAAATAGTCCTCAATTATATGTTGATAGCAACTATGCGCGCGGCACTTACTTTGGCAGTGTTGAAGACAACATTTTTGCAATCTGGAAGAATGCTTATGGACCAAGGTGGGAGCTTATATTGCCTGTTATTGAAAGTCACCCTTGCAGCTGCCTTTGGATTATAATTTGAGAGAAAAGCTGCACATCCTCCTGACATGGAAGAGAATACATGTGCCTGAAAATGCGGTGTTGAGTTCCTCTAGTTTAGACAAGCAAATAATTCCCAATATACCGAATTTGCTAAGAGGTTGAATGTAGTTGAGAATGAAATGCTCTCTCTTGACCTCAAAGATTCCAGATTTTTTTTTTTTTCCGTTTTAAATGCTCTTTCATGAAATGTGTTGATTTCTCTTGAGATATCCCATGGAGAAGCTGACAAACCTGTTCATAGCTGCCTAAGGATTTGATGGTAGGATCAGCATTTAGCAGAGCTCTTTCACATTGTTTAACAGCATTGTGGAGTTCCTTTAAGTGGCCATACTTAGGTTGCCTGGTCAAGCCTATTATGTAAGCCCAAGGAAGCCAGTTTAGATCCTTTACCCAAAAAATAAAAATAAAAATAAAAATAAATAAACAAATCCAGACTTCCAATACATATTTAAGAAATGGAGTCAATTGTCTCACCATATTCATCAATGGGAGCATCATAGTCATAACTGGTAGTAATAAAGGGGCCTCCAGAAGTTCTTCCAAAGTTGGTTCCTCCATGATACTACATTACAAATAAGCAAGTTACTTAACTCTTCTCACATTAACACTACTTTTACCATGAAGAGTTGTTCATCGAATGACTATCAGTTTGAAGTGACATCTTCCAAAACTAATGCAGATTGCAAAAATGTTATGTGGAAAGTAAAGGAATGTTGAATCTTTAGAACTGCCATCACAGCAATGGGCCTCTATTTGCTGAGAGTTTACAATATTAAGCATAAAGAAATCACTCATTGGAATTTGGAACTACTTGGCGCGGTATCAAATGCATTGGGCTAATTAACTGACCATGTAATAATTCACAAAGGAGCCTCCCTTTTGGATGAACCGAGCAACTGCAAATGCCAAATCCTGGACCGGTCGTTGATAAATTGGACCGCCATATTCCGTAAACCTTTGCAAGTAAAGAAAAATGATTTAAATAGCTCATTCAATAATTTTTATTCTCATGCAACATGGTTAAAGTGGAAGGTGTGGGAAATACCAGCCACTCCAAGCCTCAGTCCAGATAGTGGGTTTGTATGGTTTGTTTGGACTGAAATAGTCACAGTAAAAGCCATTGCAACTGTTTATCTGCAAAACATTTAGAGAACATAAAAAATGCAAACCAAATGATATGTTAGTATTGAAGGTAAAAACAACACTTTTATAAAATCATCTGTTTATTATATTTCTTTAAGGTATAAAAAGCTTCTTAATTGCTAATGCCTAAAACCATTCACTCGGAGAACTGTAAATTACCACTGGGTCTGGGGCATCATTTTCCTTGCACATGACCCAAGGCACCCCAGTGCCCATTTCAACAGCCATCTTTGCGGCCCAAGTCATGTATGCATAGCCAGCAGCTCCAAAAGCCTTACTTTCTGGCTCATACTCATTCTCAATCTATTTTATAGATTAATAATAAAAATAAAAAAGGAAAGAGGTTAAAAGTTTCAATTTGAGTAATATAGCCAAACAAACAACTAAAAGAAAAGGGGTTTCTTGAAAATTAGACCCCATACTTGATAGATAAGTAAGAAGGTATGCATAGTGTTGCCAAGATAGGAAATACAAAGCAATTAATTTTGATAAGAAAGTACCATATATGATATACCTGAGAGAGAATAATGGGACCACCTTGAGACTGGAACAACTTTTCATCTTTCATCATCTGAACAATCTTCTGTGTAAACTTCTGCATGGCTGACTGTTGCAACATGAAAAAAAAAAAAAAAAAAAAAAAAAAAAACAAAAACAAAAAAAAAAAAAAAAAAAAAAAAAAAAAAAAATCACATAACCATAGTAAAAATTAAAGTCCAAAACAAATTGATTGAAAACTTCGAAAAAAAAATAAGAATAGTAGAAAATAAGTCAATATGAAAAGCTTAAGAAAGTATATAGGCCAACTTTTAGTTATAGAAATTAATATGTCATAATTTGTCAAGTTATGGTTCATAACCAGATAAGTTATGAACAAACTTGTTAAGTTATGGTTCATAGCCAGACAAGTTATGGACAAAAACTGTGAATTATGGACAATAACTTGTCAAGTTATGGTTCATAACCAGACAAGTTATGGACGAAAATAGTAATTTGGCCTATTTATTAACTTATGTAAACTATTGGCCTATTAATTTTAATTCATCTTAAATCTTGGCTTATTTCCCTCTTTCTTTGGGAAAAAAAAAAAAAAAAAAACAAAAAAAACAAAACAAGAACATAGACAAACCTTGAAAGGCCCATTATCTGTCCTGAAACTAATGCCTGGAACATACTTGAGCCAAACAGGAAACCCCCTAATAAGCGTATCACAAAAACATCAAGATCAATAATATGAACCAACTAAAATAAAAACTTCAAAATGGTTCTTTTTCTTTTTTTTTTCTTTTTTTTTTTTTGACTTTTTGTGCTTACCCAAAGTTCCATTCAGAACAAATATAAGGTCCAATGCGAAGATGCACATAGAGCCCTGCTCTCTGGACGGTCTTGATGAACCCAACCAAGTCATTCCGTCCCTCAAAGTTATACTAAACAACCCACATAATTATAATCAAAAATTAAAAAAACAAAAAATGTGATGGAAAAATTTTGATACATTGCCCAAAAAAATAATAATAATACATTGCCAGGAGAAGGTTCATGAAGATTCCAAAACACATATGTGTCTATAACATCCAAGCCACCATCTTTAGCTTTCTGTACAAGACCAGCCCACATCTGCATTTGCATTTTTACCCACAACCATTAATTATTTTCTACATAAAAAAAATCACATTTCCAAGAAAAATTTCAAATGGGTATTCAAAAAAAAAAAAAAAAAAAAACCTGAGGGGTACTTCTGGGGTAGTGAATGGACCCAGAAAAGAATAGTTTTCTTTGGGCATTAATGACAAGAGCCTTCCTATCGTAGCCAACGTTGCATTGTGTCAACTCAAGGCTTAGAGATAGCAACACTAAGCAGAGCAGAAACCAGGTGAGACCTGACTTGTTAGCTTCCATTGTTGCTCTCTCTCTCTCTTAGCAAAGGCAGATAGAGTGAGGAGAGAGAAGAAGAAGTGGTTATAACCCCCAAAAAATGTGGTGATTACTCAAGCAAGAAACCGGAACCCAGAATCCATTTGTCTCTTAACAAACAATATCATTCACACCAATACACACACTCACTCACTCGTACAGAGTCTCAGAGTTGGCTTGTTGTCAAAAGAGTTGGCTTGTTGTCAAAAGGTTGTCATGCACAATACGGAGGACAAAAAGAAATCCACTTTCTTTATATAGTATTTATTTATTTGTTTATTTTATTATTTTGATAGGCAATAACATAACTCATAACTTAAAAGGAGAATTATATTATAATGTATTAAAAAAATATCTCCCATTTGAACACAACTTAAATCCTTTTGCCATAATATTTTTCCGGAACATCAGCTAAAAATTAGACAAATATAGTCTCACGTCTGATACCTGTACAGTTAGATAAATATAACATTTTCTGTATGTATGTGTAACATCGTTTATTCGTGCATGTATTTTTTTTTTTTTTTGTGCGCAAATGTAACACTCAATGTCACATGAGTTGAACTATATTTATTGAATGATAAACTAATGCTAACTAAATATTATATATCAATACGAACAATAATACACAAGCATATGAAAAAAAAAAATAGTGAGATGGATTATTGTGGGGAAGCGCGTGTGACATAGACGGGACCAGCCAAGCTATGTTTTACGTGCTGATTGTGTTATGGACTGGTAGGACTTTAGTTTTGTTTTTGGTGGTGTTTGCATGCAAAATCTTGATTTTTGTCGTCTGATGTGTGACAATACCACTCAAATGGAGTAACAATTCCATGGTGATGGTGGTGACATTCACCAACGGTGTAAATTTAGTGGTAAAAGTAACACCGTAAATGTACTTGAAATTAGGGTGGGTGCTAATGTAGTGGTAAAAATGCGATGTAATAATTGCGATTTATGGCACCAGATTTTCAGTCTTCTCTCTCAGCTGGGCCTGAAGGATCGGCATTGGCGTGGTTCATGCCATGAATCACTCACTGGTTGTCTGGGACATTGTTTGTTTCCCGTGCTATGTTTCACTTATTTGACTCTGTTTGAGCTGTTTTGCTACTCCTAATTGTTAGTTGGTTTGCTTTGTGCATAACGCTTTCTTGTTTCCTTTCTTTTGGTATTGAATGCTTAGCTAAACTAATAATAATAACTTATGATAGTGATACTATAGCCCCAAAAAATACTCTTACAGTCAAAAAAAAAAAATTTCAACAGTGAACTTTTCTTTCTTTTTTTTTTTTTTTGAAAATTGCTTTTTTGATCATTTATTTAGATACGTGCATTAACAATAACCATTTATCGTTATTAAGTCTACAGCAGTATAACCAGCAAAAAAAAAAAAAAGGTCTTCAATCGTATGTACCTTTTTGTTCTACACCTTCAAATTTCAATAGTATGTAAGCTTGCTAATTCTTTCCTATCATTAAATTAGTGATTCTCTAATACATCTGGTGTACTGGTGGGTTATATTTTTCTAATCGTTAAATCTGTATATTTTTTTTAATTTTTACGTGATTTTATACAAATTTAACGGACAGAAAATTTAATAGGGAGAAAGAGGAAAATAAGTCAAGACTTGAGATAAATTAAAATTAATAGGCCAATAGTTTACATAAGTTAATAAATAGGTCAAATTATTATTTTCGTCCATAACTTGTCTGGTTATGAATCATAACTTGACAATTTATTGTCCATAAATCACAATTTTTATCCATAACTTGTCTGACTATGAACCATAACTTAATAAGTTTGTCCATAATTTATCTGGTTATGAATCATAACTTGACAAGTTATGATCTATTAATTTCTATAACTAAAAATTAACCTATATACTTTCTTAAACTTTTTATATTGACTTATTTTTTACTTTTTCTGAATTTAATATACCGATATATTTAACGTACCTAGGAAGGTTTATACTAAATTTTCTTAATTTATTAGTTAGTGGTTTTTTTTTGTTTTTTTTTTGTTTTTTTTATGTAAACTCTGTCAATGTCATATGCCACCAGGGTCAAAAATTCAAAGCTGTCCCAAACAGTTGAAAAAGTTTTTTTCTTATACTATGATTGCTAACTCACCGTTGCAACAGTAATACAAAAAACAAGAATGTAATTTTCATGAGCCTGTGCAATCTACTCTAGTGGCAATGATGGTAGGATGCTTTTCAAGTTTGCTTTCTATATCATAGCTCCATCAATTATGATTTCCATGGTAAGGGCGGACATCACATGAAATAGGATGTGAGAGGGAAAGTCGTCACTTGCCGATCCGAAAAAATACGTACCAGTTTTATTTTAAACCGTTTAACTTGTATCATATTATGTTAATTTTACGTATTTTTTCTTTTAGTATAATTTTAATCAGATTTAACGTGCATAATAATACATTAACAATAAGATAGAGAGCTCCACCAAACTAAGTTGAGAGGCAATGATTTTTCTAGTTGTTAGTAGGAGGCTACGAGCCAATGCATTTTTTAAGAGGCATAATTCCAACAAGAAAAAAGTAAAAACCAAAATGAGTGGAAATTTGAAGTTAAATTATGACAATTCTATGGTAGGGTTCGAGAAATACATTTAATATTTGTTTTAAATTGTTAAATCTGCATTATTTTTAGTTAGATGTATGTATTTTATTTAATTTAATGTGATTTAAATCATATTCAAATTATGACAATTCTATAGTAGGGTTTAACAAAATAGAGTTTTATTTTAAATCATTAGATCTACATCATATTCTATCAATTTGTATATTTCTTCATTTCAATGTTATTTTGACCATATTCAACGTTAAAAAATATATGGCTCTAGTAGAGTAGAAAGGTCCATCAAATTAAGTCGGAAAACTTGGCAATAGTTTCTCTAGTTCTTAGCAGAAGAAGGCTAAGAGACTAGTACAAAGCTCCATAAAATTATGTTGGAAAACTAGGCAATAATTTTTCTAGTTGTTAGCATAAGGCTAAGAGCCAAGGCTCTAATGAGAGGCATAATTCCAACAAGGAAAAAAAAAAAAAAAAGCAAAAAACAGAAATGAGTGGGAATTTGAAGTCAAAAGTAAGCTGGAAGAGAAAAGAGGGTAAAACTATAAGGATCCTTAATTGTTAGCTTTTGCCCATCGAAAGGGTAACCTTTTGGAAAAATGGACTCTAGCATGCCATTTGGTTGGTAGTGAATTTTTCTTTGACTAATGTTCCTTATGGATTAATTCATTAACAATTTAGCCTAGATTTATAATTGTTTAAAATGGAATGAGAATGCATATAATCTTCATGTGTGTAGTTGGCACAAATGGAAAGGATACTGGTACATGCCCCACACAAGCTTCTTGGAGTCTTGCCCACTCAATTTGTTACCCATGTGAATTGCAAGAATCAAACTATGGGAGTATGGTAAGAACTTGAAAATAGTAGTTCTTGGTAATATACACAATAACTACATATGGGTCAAGTTGTATTTTTTATTTATTTATTTGGTTGGTAGTGAATTTTTCTTTGACTAATGTTCCTTATGGGTTAATTCATTAACCATTTAGCCTAGATTTATAATTGTTTAAAATGGATTGAGTATGCATATAATCTTCATGTGTGTTGTTGGCACATGGGTGTCACAAATGGAAAGGATAATGGTACTTCCATAACCCAATTATACGTTTTGTTCAAGGAGAATTAATTAGTATTTGATACAAAAAATCACAAATGTTAAAATTTTCCACTGAACTTTGAGTCTTATAATTATCTAGTCGCGAACTTTAAAACATAACATGTATAACTTTTGAACTTTAAGATTGTAATGTAATCATAATTAATATTTAAAGATTTTAACTCTTCTATTGTCCTATAAACTTCATGAATCTCAACGGGATGTAGGGTTAGTGGGTGGGGCGACGGTGACCACATTGGGGAGGTGTGAGGATGTAGCGTACACTTAACCTTATTTTTTTTAAAACTGAATTTTTTTCACTTTTTTTCCCTAACTCGACATTTTTTTTTCTTTTTAGATATACTTGATTTTTTTTTTTTTTACAACTTTATAAGTTTAAAATATGTGATATGTGGGTATATAAAATATGTGTTATTGATATTGACATAATCATGAATGCATGTATTATGTAAAATATGTATTATTGAACATATTAAGAAGGGAATGAATATTGAAAAAAGTTAAATGATGGTTTTGTATCTTCTGACGGGTTTTGTGTCTCCAAGGAGACTGCCAGACCTTTTGTAACTTGAGAAGTTTCTCCGATGATCACGGGGAAGGATTTGTGTTTAAATATGACTAGTCCCACGTTATATTAATAAATTTGTGATCACTGGGTCGTTTGACCTTTTGTCTCATTGGAGATTTGCGATGTGGAAAGCTTTCTTAATGATCACGAGGAAGAATTGGTTTTAAATGTGAAAAATGTATTTTGCCCCACATGATGGCATTGATATTATTTTTATTTTGTGGCCACAAGGTCTGATGAGCTATTTGAGATACCACCCCATCCAAGAAAAACCTTAATTGTGCGCACAAGATAAAAGAACGAACGAAAAGTGAAATGAAATATCTTATTAAGTCATGAGGTCATGCATAATTTCATTGTTGCTATATCATGTATTATTCTACTTACCGGGCGCTAGCTCACTCATTTTATGGTGATATAGATGGGGTACATCTCAGCATTAGCTGTAGATTTGATGGTTGGCTGTTGCACTCTTGAGAACCAAGATTGATGTACATGGACTAGCTGACCTGTATTTTGGAGGCTCTCGTTGTACTTAACATAGTATAAGGCTGAGTCTATTTTTGATAGATGTATTATATTGTATATGTTTGGCCAGCCAGTTAAGGTGTATTATATATTTTGATTATCTTTGCTAGTCAAGAAGTTTTAAAAGTTCAAACTTGCCCATATTTTCATACTTAATACATGTAACATGTTAGGTTAAGTATAAGGAAAGGTTAAGAAGTAACACTACTTAATATGACTAATTGGCTAATTTAGGGCTATATTAAGGGGGTGTTACAGGAGGTGTGAGGATGTAGCGTATACTTAACCTTATTTTTTAAAACTGAATTTTTTTCACTTTTTTTTTCGGTAACTCGGCATTTTTTTTTCTTTTTAGATATACTTGATTTGTTTTTTTACAAAAATATTTTTTGACTGCCTGCGTGACACATAAACATTTCGTTCACAAAGCTAATAGAAACAGCAAAAATTTGTTACAACTTGAGAGTTGGAGAGGAAATAAAGTTACTTTTTAAAATTTGGGAGTACATCATTACAAGGTCCATAATTTGGAGATAAATTTATAGTTGTACTACGAACATAATTCCAAAATATTAAATTTACATTAAATTTTACTAAATTGTTATGCTTTTTATTTGATATGAGATTTAGAATTTATCCTACACGTAGGGTATTTTTTTCATCCCCACAAAGTTCTCATATTTTCTGAAGTGCTAAAAAATGCCTTCGGCCTCTCATTCTTTTCTCTAATCCATGTCAAAAATATTGGACCCCACACGTAGATTCTGCATTTTCATGTGGATTGATTAGTATTTGAAGGGTGTTTTCAATCATCCTAATGATATATACAAGTGCTCTTTTGTTTGATATTCCATTTTCTTTTTTTTTCTTTTTTTTTTTTTGAATTGTGGGCCGCCCACCAATTTTTTCTTTAGAAACAGCTCGACAGACCAGGAGTTCCTTCTCCTTGAAACCTGAATCTTTATTTATTGAAGTGCCTTTTCTTTTCACTTATCCAAGGGGTGACATTTGCTTCTAAATTGAGCAACTGATTTATTTTGGAAACGATCGACATGTGAAACTTTTATTACTTCAGTAGATTTTGAAATTCAATGACTAACCATTAAGAATAAAAAAATAAAAAATAGTAAAAAAAAAAAAACCTTGGCTACTGAGAATTTAATGAATGATTTGTCAAGTAATTGCTTGCTAGCGTGGTGGAGATGATTACGGTCTTTTCCTTCAATTTTATATATTACTTTTTTCTTGGAAAACGATTTTAATTGTCAATGGTTTTATACACAATCTAACATGATTTTTCAACTAAATTGGAAACCAATGCGGCAAAAGATATTCATAAATGTGGCAGAGGATAGAATGCTTAATGAAAACATCATTTTTGTGAAACATTATGTGCATGCAAAATGGAAGCATTATATTGATATTTCATGTCTATACATGTCTATACGGTATAACTTAGGAAAATAGAAGCAGGAGAGAGTATGAAAAAATACCTTATTAATAGGCCTGCTAAAAACAGTCAAATTCTCATCTAATTTCTTGACATTCTTTTTTATTTTGATATAATCAAACAGTTTAAAATTGTATCTTAACTATAGATATTTTTTCTGCACTTTAGAACATCTTTAATGCGACTGTAATTGTTTTTCATCTGATATGATCGGCAGATAAATGGCATGCAAAAGGATAGAAAGAGAGAGAAGTTCTAATAAGATAAGGCACATTATAATTTAATCGGATGAAGCAACTAGCAAACGCAAAGTACTTAAAGTGGAATTTGTGATTTAATGATATGTTTCAAAATCTCTAGGAGCCCACATGCAAAAGAAAGTAGAAGCCTCTACAAGGAAAAGGAAAGAAAAAGTTTTATTAGAAGGTTTTCTGATAGTAATAGAAAGAAAAGAAATGAAATGGTGCATGTAAAAAGTAGAAAATGATCCTAGATATTAGAAGGATATAAAGGCAACAAAATGATCATTTTTCATCATTGTCAATATTTTATGCCTTTGTGAGTCACAAACTGCCCTTTTTTCTTTCTTTGTTACCACTTTATTCTTCCTTCTAATTCCCACTATAATATGCTTTGCATCATATAGTTTTGCTTTAGGTAGATTCTTGAGCCGTTGAGAAACCATTTTGTGGGGAGTTGCCGGTAGAAAATTGCTTGAAAGGTATTTGATGATTACAATTATTATTTTTTTATTTATTCGTTTGTTTTTATATGTAAATTTCAGTACATAATATCATTGCTATGAAGTGGAGGAATAATTTACAGTCAATATACTCTTCACTTAAACTTGGCAGATATCAAAGAAATGATGTGAAATAAAACGTACCGAAAATATGTTTTCTTGTGCAAGTATATCCACAACCACAAGTCCTTTTCCATATCAATATGAACACTACCATTCGACCAAAAAAGCATTGTTCTAGCGTCCTTCAAAGTTAAGCAAGCAAGCCAGTTGACTCAAACACTTGGTTTGTATTGAAATCTTAAAACAAAATAAAAATAATAAAATAAAAAGTTAACCCAATATACTATATAGCATCATAATCCCATAATTGCTGGCCATTGCTTTCAAGGATGAGAAAAAAGTAAAAAGGGTATTAGGGTTTTACTGCTTTTGTATCATTGTTTTGTTTCAACTTTCATAGCACTATCAAGGGGGACAAATAAAGCAAATAATCAACAATGTAGTTTCCACTTGCTATATTCGGCTATTCACAAATGGAATCATGCATTTCTTTCTCGTATGGCTTTATCGGACCACCGGAGGGTCGTATCACCATGAACAAGACGGATTTTGCTTTGTTTTTTCTCCTTGTGGAGCGTTGTTTCAAGGAGTTGAAAACATAAAAGATAAAGATATTCTATTCATTGAAGCTTTTTATTCAACTTTAATGTTTATGGGCCCATACTATTAAATTGGTTCATGAATGAATTGGAGTCGACTTTCCAACTCTCCGACAAGCTGCATGCATAAAAATACCTGTATATGCAGTATCTACGTATATGTACGTGTGTATTATGTATAGCCATACATATATGTCTGTGTGCGTAGAGAGAGAGAGAGAGAGAGAGGTGTAGACAGGTCACAAGTTTAGCCCTAAAAACAAACACGACTTAGTAAACTACAGTTGGAACAGCTAGCAGGAAGGATAAATTAGGGATCCAAATGAAAGTATAATACAACTAACTGTCAACATTAACTTAAAACAAAATTGTTGTACTTTCAAAAAAGAAAAAAACAAAATTGTTTTATGGGCAATTAACTTGGCAAAATTAAGTAAAAAAGATCCAAGTTACACAAAGCACAACATTCTTGAGCAATGCCTTTTTGTACTCTTACATGGAACCTATACCATGGAATGGTACAAACCAAGCAACGGACAATTAGGATTGGAACCATTTTCTGAGCTGCCCCAACCCTTTCCTCTCACCATCAGTTTGGTTTGAACCCTTTTGCGAGTATTTGGATTTATATTGTTCAATAAGCATGTCAAGCTTATCTACTACATCTCGCCCCAACGGGTCCTTATTCTTGTTTGGCCTCTTTCTTCTCGTATTCTCCCCCTCAACACCTGTAGTAGGATCCTGTGGCTTCCTCTTTTTAGGTTTCTTATTCGTCTCCTCGGCCGATTTTGGCTTTTGCCAATCAATAGGTTTCCTGCCACGTTTCTCATTTTTCGGGTTCCCTTTGAAGCCTTTCCCTTTCTGTTCTGAGCCTCCTGACATTTCTTTTGAAGGTGACTCTTTTGCCCTTCCAAAGGCCGGATTGTGTTTCCGCTTCTTTGGAGCTCCACATCGATCACTAGTGGCTTCGCTGATGGCCCTATTTTCTACTTCATCTTCTTTGTTTACTGCTGCATCATTGGATGCACGATTCTCACCTTTGGATTTGCGCTTTCTGGATTTTTTCTCGTTTGGATGGGAAACTGGTCTATTTGAATCGCTAGTTTGCTGTGCGTCTTTTGGATCGCCATGGGTCTCGTGCTGAGCTCTTTGCTTAGATTTCCGTAGCTTCAACAATTTAACATTATCAACAGCAAACTCCACGATTGGGCGGTGCTCATGACCAAAAGTTGCTGCAAGTTACAGAACAAACACTTGACATAGAACATAATTGCTGAATTAAAATAGTAACTTATGCGGCAAACAATGAAACACTCGGTTATTAGAGAGAAATATCAATGAGCCAATCCACCATGGGAGGTGTGGTTTTTACGTGGAAACAGGCCGTACCAAAACCCATTGTGGAGCCAAGAACTATACCAAATTAAGACCATTAATACTAGTGGCTTAAAAAAAAAGAAAAAGAAAGACAAATTAAAAGAAATATAGCAAGACCATAAACTTGTAATCCAGCGGAAAAAAGGCAAAAAAAAATACGGACTTATGATTTCAAGGTTCAAGGTAAGTACTAGTTAGACACCAGTTAATCATGTTAGAGGTTCAAGGTAACTAGATAGACACTGGTTAACTATCGAAGCAGAAGGAAAATATCTTTACAAATAAGTTACCACTTACCAGGATTATTATTGAGAACTCTCAGCGCCACAAGTGCATGCTCATGCTCTGAGAACTCCACAAAAGCAACTCCACGGGAGTGATTCTCTGTGACAACCTTTCCCTTCTTCATATCCTTCAAGAACTTTATCTGCGTGAATATCAACAAAGATGAGAGAAATATCCATCTATCAAAATGTGAGAGGTGCAAGTCACTTTTTGTTAGTGATTATCTAACGTACAGAAAAAATGATCGCATCCTTAATCTTGAAAATAAAAGCTAACCTGTCTGATCATAGGTGTTTGCTTTGTCACTCGTGATCTAACCGCATCAATACAGAGCTTTTTAAGCTCTTTTTCATTCATTGACTTGGGCAAATTGTAAATAACAAGTCTAGTCTTTGAAACATGAAAATTTGGGGATTGAAGCTTTGTCGTCTTGTTTCTTTCCAACCTACATATGCGGAAAAAAGCATTAACTCTACTGTGAAACAATCTGAACTTTTTAACAATTGTACGACATTAATCAACATTGGGACACTAAAAGGCATCATGGTCTATCAAGGGACCACTTAGCATCTCTCTTTCTTCCAAGTGTCAATAATCTTCTCAGGAGATTCATAGTTTAATTTAGGACTATGGGGTATAGTGAAATTTAATTTAAAATACTAAATTAAATTCTGAACTTCTCCGGAGATTTATGGTTTAATTTAGGATACTTACATTCGGCGTTTTAACATGTCACTAGCCGAAACACCTTCTGCAGCTGCAGTCCCCTCAAAAATAAGACCTTCCTAATAAAGGTTTGATAGAGAAATGTTAGCCACACTGAAGAAAAACACACATAAAACTAAAATAAAAGCAGAAAGTGGGAGTTTTATATACAAAAGGGAGAGAAATATGTAATGTCAGTGAAATCAACCTTTGCCAGGTAAAGATTGCGATGGTCATGATCCTCATTCTTGGCCTTCTCTATTTCCTTGTTGTGTGCTGCCTTCTTATCCAAAGCTTCCAAGACAATCAATTTCCTATCTTTCAGAAAGATCCCCACGCCTGATGCAACATTAGCTGCTGAAATAGCAGCAGTAGCCGCATCTGTTGTTTTGAACATGAGGAAACCAGTTCCTTTCGGTCGCCTGACACAATGAAGATGTCATGTGACATTGCAATAAATTCTTGCAAGAAATGACGCATATCAAATTAAATATTACATACCTGGTGACTGGATGACGAACTAGGACAAAGGATTGCACTTCCCCGAAAGTAGAAAACCGTTGTTCTACTTCTTCATTGTTAATTTCAAATGGGAGGTTGCCTATGAAAATTGTTCTACGCAGTTTTTCCTTTTCCTCTATCTCTTTAAGAGATTTTAGCTCTTCTTTGTCAGGCATTCCAGGCCTGGAAACTGCTGATGCTTTTGCAGACTCATCTGATACCTTATTAGGCATATCTACAGATTCATCCATATTTGGTTCCATGTTCCTCTTTGGAAGTACAGAATCATCATCGCACGAAGTAGGAGTTCCTTTAGAAGAGGATCCTATCAAGTTCTTTAGAACCTTTCTTGCTATATCTACTTCTTCATCAAAATTAACTTCAACAGGCTTATCTTCTTTCTCTGTGGTGTTGCAGTAATCAGAAGCACTATCAACACTATCAGGTTGCTTGGATTTTTTATTTAACTCCTCAAAATCATCACTGGAAACATCAGTATCACTTTCAGTTTCCCCATCTGTTTCATCACCTTCTCCTGAAAAAACCAGGTTTTAGGCATTATAAATACAATTAACATCAGACGACATAAATACTGATAGACTATTCATTGTCAGTAACGTAAACACACACACACACATACACACATGTTGCAAACCCCAGAGCATCCCTCGAATGGATAGACGAATCAACTTTTCATATAGTTATTTATGACAATTATTATCAATGTGAGAGCATCCTCTAAGCATGAATCAACATTTCTATATAATAACGTTAACTGGTTAACATTTTCTAACGTGTAATCAATTCTCATACCAGACAGCAACAAGTATTGAACTGCTGCTGCTTATTTTGCTCGGAAATCATACATCCAGTTCTTCAAGAACAAAACCCAGAATCTAGATGATATTTCAAAAACTTACTGCAGAGTTAATATAACAAAAAACATAAGTTTCTAAAGAATATGGAGTGACAACGACAATTAACAATTACCATTTTCTGGAGTAAGACTTGCATTGTTGCATCGAGTATATATTTTCTTAGGAACAGCCCAGTCAACAGCTATTGGTCTTTTGCCAAACGTTTGCCCATTGAACTTTTGAATTGCCTGCAAAAACAAGTCCACTCGTCAGAACCTAATGATTCCTTTGTTACTTTAATATTCAAGCACAGGTAACAAAAATCATACATTTTCCGCGTCACTTTTGGATGTAAATTTGATAAATGCAAAACCCTTGGATATTCTGCAAAGATAAAATAAAAGATCGATTAAAAAATGATAATTCTCTTTAGGGAGAGAAGAAAATTTTCTAATTATTGGAATGTACCCTGTATCAGAATTATGAGGAATGAATACATCCCAGACAAACCCTGCCGATGAAAACATATCCTTTATCTCAGTCACTTTCGCCTGCACAAGTTTTCAGTATACTTAAAGAATCCGAGTTTCTCCCAACAGGGAAATAAGTAGGACTATCAAATACTCTAAGCAAACCTTGAAAGGAAGATTTCTAACAATAAGTTTCCACTTCTGAGTCTTCGAACCCTGGCCAGGAATGCAACAGTGAACTCTTTAGATTTCCCACGCAGTAATGTTAAGATTACGAGCTACATCGATAACATATGCAACAGACTCCCACCCAGCCAAAGGAAAAGAAAAATATATCTTGTTTCTCTAATAGCATTTGCATAGCAAGTACTAATGAGAGAGAACTACCGGTGAGTTGACTATAAAAGGTTCAAAAGCAAAGGGTATATGAAGGGACGTCATCCTAGATTGTGCTCAGCCGTTAGCCCTCTATAGATATACAAAAACGCATTTAATCTGGGTAAACCAGAGAGAACTTCGTATGGTAGGCATACCGGAAATAAAAATTTTAGCAAAAGTGTAAGCATGTACATGTGCTATGCACATTTAAACTTTATTCCTTTCTAAGCTCTGCATTTCCTCCAGATACTACAAAATATTTTTAAACATCCTGGAATCTTTTATTTTTTTGGGCATCTACTTGACGAATAGTCAAGCACAAAGAAAACTATTTGCAAAGATAAGACAAGTATTTGCAGAACCAAGAAAAAAAAAACAATATAAAAAGTATTTAACGCACTTTAAATCATGAATAAAACACACATCCAAATTAGGAGCGTCAAAATTAGAGTAGACAGCTCATTATAAACTTTACCTCCCCACCCAGCTGACGAGCCCAGATAACCACCCCTTTAATCTCTTTTTGGTGCAGCACTGCAACCGCAGCACGAGCTGATTTGACACTTGTATAAAGAACTGCTGAAGCATCCATTTTGCATCCCTCCTGCATAAGACCTGAACAAGTGTCACACTAATTGCCTCATTTACCATCCAACACCAAACAAATAATACCCGTAAAAGGGTCACAAAATAATTGCAAATCCAAGCAAAAGTATGCTTGACATTTTAAGTTAAAAGTATGTGATGCCAAGCAAGAAAGAATCAGGGAGATAAGGTAGCTGATATAACAGTTAAATATTGATGCACTGAATGCTTTAAACCAAAGATCCAACTTTGCACATTTTCAAGGATAACCTTGCAAAATAATGCATTAGTGTTAGAGAGGTAGTCCTAATACAAATATGACCTCTTCGCCTCCAACGATTGTCCCCGAGGCTCTCTGACGTTCTCGCTTGTAAGGTACTTGAGAAGTGTGATAATGGAGTGCAACAAGCTTTATGAGGGAACGAAAGATAGTATTTATAGTAGGCACAAAACCCTTGTCCCACCGTGGGGATCCCTTGAGGTTGTACCTCGGAGGTACCAGGACGTCTTTTTGGAATCACGTGACGATCTCCCGACACTCCGTCGTGTACGCTGGTTTATTAGGCTACAAGGGGTCATACATGGGAACAATTATACGCATGAAACTGTAGCAACGTCCTTTCCCCCGTACTCATTCATACCTAAAGCCCGAGTCCTAACAGATAAGGTGGTGTCTAGGTACATGTTAGAGTGAATTGTAGGTGAGGGTCATGAGATCTTACCTCAACGTATAGGGTGTTACCACATTACAAGTAAACAAGATACACGGGCAACAAACATAATGGGTCGTTACCTTGAGTGGGGTTCGTGGTATGCCCACTTTGAAAATGAGGTAGTACTACCTCGAGAGTACCTTGAGCACTCTGAAAGATCTATGTATAGCGCAATTGTTTTAGTATTTGTTTCAACAATTATAGAAACAATTCCTGTTAAATTAATTTACCGAATAAAAATTAAGATTAATTACAAAAATTCCCCATGAACTATATCTATTGTAACACTTTGCCCATTTATCTTTAAAACATAACATTCATTCTCCCTGAACAATGAAATGTTAACGAAAAAACCCCATCTGTTAGGTTTTTCAACGCAAATTGACATTTAATTTGTTATTTTGTGATATTTTGATAGCTCTATCGTTTAAAATTTAGTTTGAATTTAAAACTAATTTAAATTTGAACTTTTAATTATGATACATCCATTATTGATTGAATGTAAGTTAAAAGTTTTATGAATCTTTTTTTTTTTTGGTAGAATAAAAAAATTATGAATTTTATGAAATATTTAAATTAATTTAAATTCAAATTAAATTTTAAACCATAGAATTACCAAAATACCTCAAAATAGAAAATTAAATGTCACTTTCAATTAAAAACCTAATGGATGGGCCTTTTTTGTTAATATTTCATTGTCCATGGAGAACGAATGCTAAGTTTTAAAGATCAGGGGGCAAAGTGTTACAAGGGATATAATTCAGGGGGAATCTTTGTAATTAATCCTAAAAATTATTTAACCAGATTAAATAATTACCGAAAGTAGTAAATAAATAGAACTCGGGAAATTTTTATGTGGTTCAGTAAAAACCTACATCCACAGGGTCACACCCAGCTAATGAACAATCCACTAATTAAACAACATCACAATCACCAATGGACTTAAACAATCTAAAGACTCCCTCTCATAATTGTCGTCTAGGTCTTGTAATAATTAGCTAGATCTATTCAGCGAGCAGCACTCGTCTTTAAGCTTTGCAAGATGAAATCCCTTCACTTGGCATATTGTTCTCTTCCGAAAACTCCAAATTCTTCCCCAGAAGAATGATGAGTGGTTGAATCCCCTTCGACACTGCAGATCGTCTTCTCCCGAAGACAGCTATTTCTTCTCTCGAAGAATGTAGAACACAAGCACTCAAAATTTTATGCGTGAATGCCCTCTTGAAGGCCGTTGAGTGTAAACTTCTCAAAGTATTGTGTGTGTAAAACCAAGAAGCCTTCAATCACATCTGATTTGAGAATTATATAGAGCATCACGAAATCCTATCTCAAATCTCATATCATAATCTCTCAAAATTTGAATGTTGCATAATTTGTTCCACAATTTGTTGCAACATAATATGTGCGAATTTAATTCTGATTTAAAAAAAAAAAAATCAAAATCTTTGTATGATTTTTCCTCCCAAAATCTTCCTCAAAATGTCCTCTAATAGAATTGCCACTCCCTGGAATTTATATAACCAAACCAAAATCCTTATCTAAGTTGTTTTTCAAATTCACCTTAGATTAGGATTTCTCTTTTCCAAATCTTTGACAGCTATAGCAAACCTTTAACAGATATCCAGATAAAAATTCAACTTTATCCAAATACACAAATCAAGATTTTACCTTGGTAAATCTCACTTTGAAATTCAACTATCTCAACATAGATTTGACTTGCACACCACGTTATTATCTGCAAACCTATTTTTTAAATTATCATGTTTCTTGTTGCCATAAATGCCAACTAAAACCTAACAATCTCCTCTTTTGGCATTTTTTTTTTTTTGACAAAACTATCAAAAACAAGAAAAACAAGTGCAAATATTCAAAAATGTATCTACTCCGCCTTTTTTGCAAAATAATAGCCAAAGTCATTAGCAAAATAAAAGGCAAAATAAATTGGAAAAAATCATCTACAAGCTATCACTTTCGGAGGTTTCTTCAGCAACATCATCGTATTCAACAAATGCACTATACATAAATCTTTCACACTCATTGACACCTAAGTCATTCTCAACGGTTAACATGGCGTGCCCTTGCTAACTAAGAGGAACCAACCAAATATCCATCCCTATCCCATGACAAAGGAGTCGTTGCAAGCATTGTCATGGGAAACATACTCAACCAAACTATTCCCTTATTCATGTATCATCACACTTCTCATGTTTCAACATATTGGTAGTTGACATCAAGTAAGAAGATTTGGCTCCACCAGGTCAAAAACACTTTGAAGAAGAGCACAAAAAATTAAAACAATGAGCATCCTTTAGGATGATCTCGGGGGTTGCAAACAAAAACAAAAAACAAAAAACAAAACAAAAACAAACTTCAGGTGTTCAAAAGTTGAATCCTCCCCCAGGGGAGTCTCAAGAGATCGCCATTTGATGGCAAAAGGATAACCTGACACTTCCAAGGTACAACCCCAAGGTACCCCCACAGCGTGTCTAGGATTTCGTGCCCTAAAATGCCTCACGATATTTCATTCCCTCATAGAACACATTGCACTCTATTATCACACTTCTCAAATACGTTGGAAAGCTTCCCACAAGGGACGATCTTTGCACGTCAAGGTGAAGAAAAGGGAGGCAAAGAGGAAATGTGTGTGTGCGTGCGCACGTCTTTTATAATAAACTAGAAATCTTATTTGTAATGAATTATGTTGAAACATATAACTAGATATAACATGTATGATGTGTTGTGTATATATATAATATATATATATAAATGTAGTGTAGACGTATGCACTATAGAATTAAATATATTTTCGTAATTTATTTCCTTATTGCTCATTATTAAGGAAATTAGTTTCTATGCCCCAAGGTTTCTGCTTTCCTAGTACTGCAATATCGTCTTACTAAGTCCGAGAGTTAAGGATGACTAGAGATACCGGTTAATGTTGAATTGTACAGTTGTCATTAGCTAATCGTAGGAAAGAAATCCGCGTGTATATTTAGTTAGGAAAATTATTCTGATCCCTTGAATCATGGGATTTGTAACGTTAGGAATTTTTCTAATTTGGGTAGATTAGTTTCCTATTATTCTCCCTAGAATAGTCTATATATTTCTGTGTGCCAATTATTCTAATTCAATAAGAAAATGTCATTCTCTACCCCTCTTTTACAATATGGTATCAGAGCTACAGGCTTTTTTTTTCTCTGGGTTTCCATCTTCGTGCAGCCTTTATTACTGTGATAAGACAATTTGATTGCAGCCTTCATTGCTGCGTTATTTTCTGTTTCATCCTCAATCCTTTTCTTCCAATCTTTTTCTCCTTTCGATCACCATGGCCACATCTAAAACCAAGGTTTCAAATACCTCTGCTCAAACAGAGGAGGTCAACTCAAATCAAATGACTGGAGATCTGCAGAACATTCGGGCTACATACATATTGTATGAGAAAAAATTATCTCAAGTGGTCCCAATTTATTAAAGCATACCTTAAGGGTAAAGGGACTTAGTCATCTTCTCAGGACGGGACCGAAAAAGGGAGACCCAAAGTGTGAAGCATGGGATGAAGCTGATTCCATGATCATGTCATGGTTATGGGACTATGGATCCTACAATTAGTGACACCGGTATGTTTTTCACAACTGCAAAGGAGATTTGGGACTCCATGCAGCGAACCTATTCAAAAGCTTGTGATGCAGCCAAAGTGTATGAGATTAAGGTGAGGACCAATGCAACCAAAAAGGTAGGCAAATCGGTGACAGAATATGCCAATTTACTGAAAAACTTGTGGCAAGAGCTGGATCACTATCGGGTATTTGAGGTGAAATGCCCAGAAGAAGCTGCTATCTTGAAGAACTTAATTGAGAAGGACCAAGTATATGATTTATTGGCTGGACTAAATCCTGAATTTGATCAGGTTAGGGTACAGATACTCGGCAAAGAGGAGACACCTTCATTAGAGGAGACAATTTCTCTTGTTCGGGCAAAAGAAAGTCGAAGGGGCATAATGCTCGAACCTCAAGTTTTAGATGGCTCAGCCTTGGTGAACAACCACATACACAAGAAAGGGGGAAAGCAACCCTGTCAAAATCATCACGGAGAGACAACAAGGATAATTTGTGTACCTACTGTAAAAAACCAAGGCACACCAACGAGAATTGCTGCAAATTGAATGGTAAACCATCAAGCCGAGAATGGGGAAATCGTGGAGGTGAGCAAAGGTCTTAATCTCAGGCTCATCTGACAGAACAAGCCAACCAACGCGAGGGGCAGGAGAAAGGACACTCACTAGTGAAGATATTGAAAAACTCAATGGCTTGATCGGATCTCTTAAGAAGCCTTTTGGTGCATGTTCATTGGCATTCTCAGGTAAGTCTTCATTTTCTTTTGGATTACATTTCTCAGAAAAGTGTTTGACCAACTCTTGGGTAATTGACTTGGGGGCCACAGACCACATGACTTACACCTCACAATATTTCAACACTTATACTCAGTGTCCTAGTAGTAGGAAAATTACCATTGCAAATGGTTCTCTTGCTATAGTTGCAGGATTAGGAGATATCCATGACGCCTTCTCTTGTCCTTAAAAATGTTCTCCATGTACCAAAATTGTCAGCAAATCTTGTTTCAATTGAAAAGCTTACAAAAGACCTAAAATGTTATGTAACTTTCCGTCCTTATTGTGTTTTTCAGGACCAAGGTTCAGGGAGGAAGATTGGACTTGCTAAGGAATGGAATGGGCTCTACTATCTTGAGACACCGAGTACTTCAAAGAAAGTCATGAATCATTTGTCTTTATCATTTCTCAGTTCTTCAAATAAAGATGCCATTTGGCTTCACCATTTTCGTCTTGGTCATCCATCCTTTAGAGTCTTAAATATCATGTTTCCCTCTTTGTTTAAAGGATTGAATGTTACTGATTTTCATTGTGATTATTTTTATTTTTATTGTTTGGATAAGAAACAGGAACCTTGAATTAAATAAAAAAGAAAGCAAATACAAAAGGAGACAAGCGATTGACCAAGAAAACACAAAAAGCCTAAAGATCAACTAAACTATAAACCACAGAAAGGCTTAATGAAATATACTATCCCACCCCCAAAGTAGATCTTTTTTTTTTCCGAGAACAAGAAGTCCACGGAACAGAACTAAGCGAACGAGAAAAAAAAAAAAAAAAAAAAAAACCACACAAGCACAAAAGGCTAATACGAAAACTAAGCCAAAACTAAATCCCGTCACCTTAACATATCCGGGAAAGAAAAGGCCTTAATTCTTTATCTTGTGAAGTCCACAGCGCCACCCAGTAAATTATGTGATCCCAAACCTCACAAATCTTTCCCTCAACCCCTTCAAAGCATACTCGTGTATATTTGTGAACTTGCAATTCCAAATTATGTGATTTTCATTATGATATTTGTGAACTTGCAAAGCATACTCGTGTATCCTTTCCCATTAGTAATAAAAGATGTTCTCACCCTTTTGAATTGATTCCCAATGACATTTGGGGATCGTCTACAATTTCATATATTTCGAGGTCTCAATGATTTGTTTCTCTAATTGATGATTGTACTAGGGTTACATGGATATTCTTGATCAAACCAAAATCTAATGTAAGCAGTGTCATTCCTAACTTCCACTCCATGATACAAAACCAATTTGGCGTAAAAATTAAAGGCTTTAGGTCGGACAATGCCAGGGATTACTTCAATCAAATTTTGACACCCTACTTTCAAAAAGGCATTATTCATGAATCATCATGTGTAAGCACACCACAACAAAACGGGGCTGCTGAAAGGAAAAATGGCCATTTACTTAATACCACTAGGGCATTGTTATTTCAAGGAAATGTTCCTAAATCTTATTGGGGGGAGGTTGTTCTTACTGCCACATACATGATCAATAGGCTGCCCTCACGAACATTAGATTATAAAACTCCCATGGAAAGTCTTGCAAAATTCTATCCCCATGTCAGAACATCAAATGGTCTCATACCTAGAGTCTTTGGTTGTACCTATTTGTCCATATCCATAGCCTAAATAGAGGAAAGTTAGACCCTAGAGCAATCAAACGTGTGTTTCTTGGCTATTCATCTACACAAAATGGGTATAAATGCTATCATCCTCCTAGAAAGTCATACATATCTATAGATGTCACCTTTGCTAAAAACAAACCCTACTTCACATTGTCCTATCTTCAGGGTGAGTTTCCACTTATGGAAGATAAAGACTGTGGTTGTGATTTCGGTTCTTTTGGGTCTCTTGATCTACCCTCGACACCATCTCCATCTACTCAAAAATAGAATGTCCCAATCTTCCATCGAGTCTGTCTCAATTCCTGAATCCATGTCAGCCCCAAAACTAGAACATGCATCCAATCCAGTACCTATACATACTCCAATACCCGTTCCAGAACATGTGCCCACTCCAATACCCATCCATACTCAAGTCACACCAACGTCTATTCATATTTATGACTCAATGAGATTTCCTCAGGTATACTCAAGAAGGAAAGTTGTTCCAAACCTGACACAAGTCCGAAATGACATCCGGAGCTTTGCTAATGAAGATATGGTAAGCTCTGATTCTCCCTTGTATATACAATCTGTTGAAACACCAAAAAGGAATTCTGATCTTCCTATTGTTGTTAGGAAAGGTACTAGAGAATGCACAAAGTGTCCTTTATATCCATTGTCCCACTATATTTCACTTTATCTGAGGCATACTCAAAAAGGGAGTGGAGGAATGCTATGAGAGAGGAGTGGATGCATTGGAAAAAAAACAAAACATGGGAGATTGTTGATAAGCCAAAAGGAAAGAATCTAGTGGGTTGCAAATGGATTTTCACTTTAAAATACAAGCTGATGGTTCTCTTGAGAGTTATGACGCGAAATTGGTTGCTAAGGGCTATACTCAGACTTATGGAGTTGATTATCAAGAGACGTTTGCTCTTGTGGCAAAAATGAACACTGAGAATCTTGTTATCTCTGGCAGCTCATTTTAATTGGCAACTTCAACAGTACGATGTGAAGAATGCCTTCATGCATGGTGACCTAGAAGAGGAAATTTACATGAGCACTCCACCAGGATTTGAAGGAGATGGAACAACTAACAAGGCGTGTAGACTGGAGAAGGCCCTATACGGACTAAAACAGTCACCCAAAGCTTGGTTTGGGAGATTTGCTGGAGTAATGAAAGCAACAGGATACAGACAGAGTCAAGGAGACCGTACCTTTTTCATCAAACATTCGGTAACAGGGGATTGACAGCCCTCTTGGTATATGTTGATGATATTATTGTCACAAAAAATGATGAAGAGGAGAGAAGCTTTGAAACAATGCTTGATCAAAGAATTTGAAATAAATGAACTTGGAAGACTGAAGTATTTCCTTGGCATTGAAGTTTCATACTCGAGACAGGGCATTTTTATCTCACGGCAAAAGTATGTGACAGATCTCTAGAAGGAAATAGGAAAACTTGGTTGTAAACCAGTAGCTACACCTATTGAGCCAAACCAGAAGCTAGGGGAAGCAAAAGAAGAACCAGTCGTTGATAGGGAAATATACCAAAGATTGGTAGGAAAACTCATCTACGTTGCTCATACTCGACCAAACATTGCATACTCAGTTAGCATGATTAGTCAGTTCATGCATAGTCCGAGAGAGAGACACACCTACGAGCAGCCTACCATGTATTACACTACTTGAAAGGTAGTCCGGGAAAGTGAGTTCTATTCAAAAGAAATAATGAACTCACATTGGAAGCCTACACAGACGCAGACTATACAGGTTCATCAGTCGACAGGAGATCGACATCTAGTTATTGCACGTTTCTTGGGGGAAATTTGGTAACATGGAGGACTAAAAAGCATAATGTAGTGGCGAGGTCGATGGCCCAAGGAGTGTGAATTATTGTGGCTGAAAATCATCTTGGATGATTTGGGAATCAAGTGGGAAGGTCCTATGAAGCTGTATTATGACAATAAGTCAGCAATAAACATTGTTCATAACCAGTTTAGCATGACAAGACAAAGCATATCAAGATTGACAGACACTTCATCTAAGAAAAGCTAGAAGGAGGTCTGATTTGCATGCCTTATGCACCTTCAGGGAGTCAACTAGCAGATATCTTGACCAAAGGACTCAAAAATGCACCTTTCCATGAAATTATTTCCAAGCTAGGAATGGAAGACATCTATTCTCCAGCTTGAGGGGGAGTGTTAAATTGTACAGTTGTCATTAGCTAATTGTTAGGAAAGAAATTGGCGTGTATATTTAGTTAGAAAAATTATTTTGATCCTTTGAACCATGGGATTTGTAACGTTAGGAATTTTTCTGATTTGGGTAGATTAGTTTCCTATTATTCTCCCTGGAATAGTCTATATAATTCTGTGTACCAATTATTCTAATTCAATGAGAAATTATCATTCTCTACCCCTCTTTTATGATAGTTAAGAGTAGCAAAACATGCACAAACAATTTATGCATGCAATAAATCACTTACCTTGTTTCTCAAGCTCTTCTTTTGGAAGAGGGTATGCCACAGAACATACAGTTCCAATTTCTCTAGCTTGGCTAAGAACATCTTCCGCTATCTTTGCATTAATAAGACCACCAAATATCACAGTCCTCGCAACTCTTCGCATTGACAAGGAATAAAGTATTTCATCACATCATTGGCATATTACTTTAGAAACCACATATAAAAGAATACAAAAACGAGACAAACAGGCAAAAAAGTACAGCCAAGTGAAATAAGAAATAGGATACCCAAAAGTGGATCAGTGGGATGTCCGAACTAAAGTGTAGGAAACACATATTACAGGAAACTGATGAAACAATGCAATAAAGAAAACTCCGTCTGCACTTTAAAAATTTAAAAAAAAAATAAAAAAATAAATAAAAAATCTTCTAATTGCTTTATCAGGCAAGACCTAATAAAACATGGTCCTCAGCTTGAAAAGAGTTGAAGCCAATCCTATCTTGTGTTAAATGTAATTTTCAGTTGGGGGAATAAGTTATAACAATAATCTAATCAAAAAAGCTAATTCTTGATTATTTGTATTAAAAAAAAGAATCAGTACAGAGCATTCTCAATTAATTTAGTTGGATGCTGATATCATAAGTTCATAACTGAAGAATCATCATCAGCTGAAATAAAAAAAATGTATATCCTATTAGGCTAATTATGATCAAGGCATTCTTACATCCTAATGAATCTAACAGCACTACGAACTGTCTAAATGCAGTCCAATTTCTGTTATATTTCAAATTACTCAGTGCACTCCAATTTTATTGCTAAGAGTACTTCATGAAAGCAAAACAAGTCAGGCCGTTCTAGGAAAGTCAGAGACCCAAACATCATGAATTCAACAAAGAATAGAAGGATATTATGAAGCACCATATATGCAAAAAGAGAATAAAATATAATTGCATGACTTAATGATATACTCTCATTCTCCAAATGTGAGGCACTTTAAAAATGAACCACCTAAGGAAGGGGGAACGTATTATAATTCGGTACCTTTGCTTTTCTGAACCACCCGTTTTATCCTCTAAATCAACATGAAGTTTTGCAGCTTTTCTAACCTCCAATTGTTTCTCGGAATTTTTCTTTAGAGCAACAGCTGAAACTGAAAAACAAAATGAGATCCAAAAACCATAAAAAACACGAGAAATGAATAAATATAGTTTAACAACCTCCTCCAGCCAAGTTTGAAGCATCCTTTTCTGACTTGGTAGTACCGCCATCCTTGTCCTCCTCTGATTTCAGAGAATTCTCCAAATTTGCTGCTAAGTAAATAGAGAGAACATTACCATGGAGGGAAAGAAAAATAAAAATTAAAGAGAAATCAACATGTTCACATGCTCTTTAGCAAGAGAATAGTATGCGCGAAGTCCAAACTAAAGTAGGGTTTCAACCTTCACTTATCTTAGACCGTCTCTGTTCACGGGGGGCTCGGTGCATAGCATGTTTAACATTGATTATCCGACCTCCAACAGAAAAACCATTCTTCACCTCTATAGCACGGTTTGCATCTTCCGTGACGGCACTACAAAATTACAAATAAAAGCAAAAATGCACCCAAAAAAAAATCACAACATGACAAGGAATTTCCACTATTAATACACTCATAATTTTTATACACATAAAAAAATAAATAAATAACAAATCCAATGTCGGTAATGATTCAACTATGCCTATAAAACAAAAACAACAAACTTAGTAAGGGCAAAAGGTATATCACCAAACTTACAATTGAACATAACCAAAGCCACGTTTCTCAGTTGAACCTATGAACACACAAAAAACGGATTAACCACCACTTAGCACATCGATGAAATTCAAATTAGTCAAGAATCCGACATTTTGGAATCAATATAACCTAAGAATCACACTGTAATGAAGTCTCGGAAAGAAAAATGTTTTAGCTTTACCTGACTTGGCGACCATGAAACACCGCCTAATCGGTCCGACATCGCTGAAAGCTTCTTCCAGCTGATTTTTATCCGGTAGATGAACACAATTAGCCAAAAACACAAGTGCTAATTCATTTTTCCTTTATTTTTTCCGACGGTTTCTCGGAAAACAAACGGAGAAAGAGAGTGGAAAATGAATATACCTGAGAGTCGGTGAAGGCGTAGGGCAAGTTGCCGACAAAGACGGTGGAAGGAGAGAAATTGGTTTGGGTTTTGTCGTCAACGTCGCCACCATCTCTGGTTTTCTTCTTCTTCGCCATAGCTGTTTCGCGGGAGAGAAACTGAGACAGATGAATAAGATGATTCTAAAACCCCAAACAGAACATACGACGGAGGGTTTTCTTCTGTTTGAGGCTTGCTCGAGCTATTTGGGCCTTTTGGGCCCGCGATGGTGGAACTTTGTTGTCTCTGCGAAAGAAAAACACGCACAGAGAGCAGGTCGTTTTTGTTAAGAATATGTCGTTGCTCAAGTTAAATAATAGGACATGTTGATTGTACTTTAAGCGCGTTTACCGAACCGTAAAGTAATTCAATGGGTATTCAATGGGTAATGAATTTAGAAAGAAAAGCAAAATAATAGAATTAAAATTTATTCATTCACTTTATTTGATTATTAAATGATGTAATAAGAAATAATTATATTTCTTTTCTTATGAGTTATGTTTATTGAAATTAAAAATAGCAATATTACAAAGGTAATTACTAAAATATCTTTTTATATAATTTAATAATTATTAATTTTATAGTAATTCATTAAGAGTGCAATAAGTAGATTTAGTATTTATTTTTTTTGATAAAAAATCAATACTAAATGGGGCGGCATTCTCTTTTCTCATTCTCTATATTATGTGGGATCTATTAAATCTCTATTACTAATTTTATAAGTAAATATATTATTAGATTAAAAAAAAAAAAGCATTCGTCACGTTCTCTTTTTCCCTTCGATGCAAAGTAAACATCCCTTAAATTTTTTTTTTGTCGTTTTTCCCCTTTTTTTGTGAAAAACCATACTTCTTTTGCTTAAACTAAGACGACTTGTTCCTTGTCGTTTCTAGTTTTGCTCTTGTTTGTCGTCAAAAAGATTTCCCTGTTCAAAAATAAATATGTCGTTTTATCATTAAGTATGCACATAACCTTCTCTTCCGAGAAGCTGTTATTTTTACAAGTAATCAAACGACAATCTCTTAAGAAGAAAGTGAAAAAAAACAAAGTAAATCTTTGTGTTCTTAAACTACATGTATTTCATTTATATTTTAACTGACATTTTAAGAACTAATAAAGGATATGTCGTTTGTCTACCCAATATTATGTCGTTTCATATCGAACAAGATGAAACTCTATGGTTAAAAGTAAAACAGCGTGCCGCTTATTTCCAAAAAAATATATATATTTAATTACAAAAATTTCCCATTAATTATACCCCTGATTTTTAAAACACAACGTCTGTTCTTCTTTAAAAATAAAATATTAACAAAAAGCACCATTTGTTAAGTTTTAACTAAAATTGGCATTTAATTTACTATTTTGATAATTTTATGAGTTAAAATTTAATTTGAATCTAATCTAATTTAAATATTCAAAAAAAACTTCATAAATTTTTTTATTATACAAAAAAATTTCATAAAATTTTTTACTTACATTCAATCAATAATAGATGTATCATAATTAAAAATTTGAATTTAAATTAATTTTAAATTTAAATTAAATTTTAAATTATAAAGCTACCAAAAATAAATACCCTAAAATAATAAATTACATGTCAATTTTTCTTAAAAAACTTAATAAAAAGAGTTTTTTTATTAACATTTTATTGTTCATGAGAATAAATGTTATGTTTTGAAGATTAAAAAATAAAGTGTTACAAAAAGTATAATTCAGGAGAATTTTTTATAATTAATCCAAAAAAAGTTCGTTTTAATGGGACGTTTGGTTGGAGGATTCAAACTATAATTTGAATCATGGTTCATGATTCGCTACAGTATTTTCTCTTACAAAAAATACACGTAAATTAAAAATGGTTCTAATTATATGATTTTAATCCATGAACCAAACGTTAGTGTTATTTATCATGAAAATAACACGCCACAACTGTCCTTTTATTTTTAAACAATTGTCTTATCTATATATTCAGTGTCCAATATACCTCAATAATTTGTTGTCATTTTATACGTCAGTATTTTATTTTTTATAAGAGTTTTTTATTGTAATAAAAAAATTAAATGTAATTATTTTTTAAAATTATATACTATAATAAAATTTAAATTCTAAACTCGAATCGGTGAAATGAACTAGACTTTTCTTCATTTTTATTCTTATGCTCTCTTCTTCGATCTTTTGGTATTTTATCTTCTGTTTTTGCTTTTCTGTTTCTTTCCTTCGTTTTTCTTCTCTTACTGCTTTCTGGAAACTATTTGCTTCCTTTTTTCCAATGCGTTGTCGTTGTTCTTCTACTTTATTTACTGTTAGTTTCTGGTTTTCCACTTTTATTTGGGGCTTTCTACTTTTCTTCGGTTTTGTTCATCTTCATTTTTCAAAAAAAAATTTCCGCATTTTTCTTCTTCTGGTGTGTTTTGGAACGGATCTTATGTTTTTCTTCTGGATTTTCTCTTTCTTTCTTCTTCAAACCCTCGATTTTTTTCTATTGCGTTTTTAGACCACATCTATCTTAATTCTTTTTTTTTTCTGGGTTTCCATCTTTTGGTCTTCTATAATGTGTTCTTCTGCAATTTTTTGCCTTCTGGGTTGATTTCCTCTTTTTTTCGTTTGTATACTTCATGTACTTCTGGATTGGTCTTCTGGATATTTTTTTATCGTTTCTATACTTCTTGTACTTATGTTTGCATTTGTGGTTTTTAGTTTTTCTTTGGATCTCATGTTTTGTTTATCTCTATTTTTAAAACTTTTTTTGCCCTTTTCTTTTTATGTTGTGCTTTGCAGCAGATCTGCCTTAATCTAAGACATTTTTTGTTTTCTCATTATTTCATTTTCATGCTTTATTTTGGTTATAAAAAAAATTCTCATATTTTTTTATTCTTCTTTCGGCCTTTTTTTTTTACTTCGGTTTTATGTTTGCTTTGATTTTATTTGAGATTTCCTTATGTGACTAACAGTTCTTTTTACAGGGACTTTTGCAATTAATTGCAATTTTACTATTGCACGTGTTTCTATTATTTATTTTGTTTTGACTTTGCAGGTTGTATGATACGAGGTATGAAAAAAATTAAATGTCTATTTTAATTCTTTTCTTTGTTGGTCTAGTGTTTTAGACTCCTTTTTGTTAAGGTAAACATCGAATTTTTTTTTTTCTATTCCGATATTTATTCACGATGTCCATCGGTTTGTTTTGGATGTGGTTTTTACTATGCTATCGTGTTTATATTTTCTTTGGACACATTCGTTCACTTTGCGGATTTAAATTTTTAATTCGAGTTGAGATGTGACATTTTCTGAGAGTTTTTCACTGTAACAAAAAAATTTGATGTGATATTTTCTGAGAGTTTTTTACTATAAAAACTTAAAACTGAAAATTCAAATCGGTAATCATTCTTCTCCTGTAATTCTTTGTAATATATATGTTATTTTTTATTGTCTTTTGATTATTGGTTCCGTTTCCGTTTAGTTTTCATGTTCCGTGACATATGTTCTTACTTATTGTTATTTTTTCTGTTAGTTTCATTTGCGATTTTAGCTTTGTTGGTTTGACTCAATATTTTTGTTTGGGTTGCTTTTTTCTTTCTCTTTGACTGCTTTGTTTCGTCGCTGTTGAGTCATCAAAATCTAACTGTATTATCAAAAAAATTTATATATTCTTCATCTTTTGGTTTCATGGATTTTTGTGTGCAGGGATTGCGTATTCATTGTTCCTCCTTCTCTCCGGCTGATTGCATGCCGTGTGTGGGTAAAGCTCAATTTTTTTTTCTATTTTATTTATTGTATTGATAAGGTGGGCTATGTATAGTGGTGATTTATCTTGCCAGCATGATGATTTGTACCGATTCTACTGCAGAGGTATTAAATGCAATTCTAGAACAAAAAATTTTCTTTCCACTTTTTCTTTATTTTTTCCCTTTTTCCCTTCTCTCGGGTGATTATTTTTGAAGCCCTGTTATTTTTTTTCTTCTTCTTTTTTTATCGTAAATACCTTATTGTCTTTGGCTTAGTTTGATAGTACTGTGAATTTTAGAAAAATTACTTTTAGCTGTGCTGAAGAAAAAAGCAGCTATTACAAGAAGTAACTGAGTGTTTGATAAACTGTAATTATAGTAACTGTGCTGGTTCTAAAATCAGTGTAATAGCGTTTGGTAAATTTTGAGGTTGAATTGTTGTGGGTATGTAAAATGACCAAAATAGACATGATATGAAACTTAAATATATATAATTATTTTTTATATTTAGAAATACTTATTTAACTTTAAAAAACATCTGGATATGATTTTGAATTTTTTAACAATAAATTTATGATAATTAATTCTCTTTTTTTTTCATTTCTTCATTCACAATATAATTACAACTAAAAGAAGCATTAGTGACGATTACTCAGGGACAGTTGCAGTCTTCGAGTTGTGGAATTGTTTTGTGCTCTCTCTCTTGCAAAGCTTGGCATGAACAGTTGCAGTCTTGCTAACGCAACCAAATACCATAATTATCAATTTTGGTGGGGTTCTTCTAAAAAATTTGCAAGAAAATATGATAAATTTGTTGAGAAATTTCATGCCAAGAAACGAACTAAGCCAAATAATAATTAATTATAAGACCACAAATAAAGAGCATTTCAAACATATTCATATCCATACACACACACACACTTATATAAATGAGCAAATTCACACATTGATGGGTGAGGCCCTCGGATTGGGCTAGGTGGAGCCGCCTAACTTCGATTAGGATTATCATTTCCTAATCAAAATACCATTGGTATAATAGGATTATTAATGAAGCATGCTAAAGTGAAGCTATGCGATTTATTTATGCGATTTATTTATTTACCTGCATTGGATTGTTTAAACAAAAAGAAATAAATATATGAAGTATTGTTTTATGGCACATTTTGCTATTTTTTTTACGTGCTTATTTTTTTGATAATAAAAATTTTATTGATAAAATTCAATAACAAGAGCAGAGGACAAGGAATCCTCAAACCAAAAAGAAACAAAAATGACCAGGTGTGAAAAACTGACTAACATACAAAAAGAGCAAGATAAACACATAAACGATATCTCAAATCAATTCCCTATTACATCTTTCTAATTCAAAATGGCCAAAGTAAACGGGAACCTGAAGCAGCCCATAGCAATGCATAGAACTTTGCCTTCTAAAAAATATCAATTGGCCCATCGCCTTTTCTTAAAAAATTATGCCATTCCGTTCCATTCACAGACACGAGACCACCATATTCGATGTTTGTTTCGTGAATAAGTTTTGGCCGCAATGTATCATATAAATATGTAGACCTGCAAGTAAACACCGGATTCCGCATACTGTGGATTGTTTTCAACATACCTAATATCGAGCAGAAATATTTCAAGGCATTTTTTAATAAATAATCTCTGAGCCCTAAGGCATGCAACTCAAGACAACCTTCTAATAATTAGAATTAATTACTCAAATAAGTATCTACTTACGATATGCAGTCATCAAGTCGTTTGAGCAGAGGGAGAAAGTTCTGATTTACAACATTCATATTTGGAGAATAAAAGTTGGTAGATATCTGCAACAAGTTTGACAGCCACGCATAAATTATGTTGAAATGATAAGAACTAAATAGTTTAGCTTAGATGTAGAAAATAAGAACAACAACCAAATGAAAACTCGTTCTTTTTTTTTTTTTTTTACTTAATTTGCATGTCAATAACCAGATCGACTTGTTTAAGCTAAGAAAATTGCATATAATATGAAAAATTGAGTTAAACAACTTAAGCATATGTTAATAAAGACGCTAAGTGAATCAAAAATCAACTTAGTTCTGTTTCCTTTGCATTTATATCCTATACTGGAGGGACAGGTAAACACGTCTGAAACATATATTACTTAAGCAAATGTTTAGACTCTAGGCAAGATAGCATTCGAACCTTACATTCTCCAATTCATCAAAATAGTTGAGCTTACTGCGAAGTGCTTCCGCAAATTCTATTAGTCTTTGCTTCTCTATTACCTGCAAAGAAAGACGGGAGCATAAAAAAAATGTTTTGAACCAAAAATACAATGAAAAAGTATCAATAATTTCATGAAAAAGTATCAATAAGTTCAAGAGATAAGAAAAAGTATATATATATATACACACACACACACACACATATATATAAACCATCAATACATACCAACCAAATAATAAAAATCCTCCATAGAGAATAATAAGTAACAAACAGACATAGAAAAAGGTCGGCGGATGGAGGAAATCTCACCAGCCGGTCACATGCATCATGAAGAGTTTTTGTCTTTGTTGCTACTGCCTGATGTTGCAGCTGTAATTCATTGAATAAGTCTAAGGTGTCATCCACCTGCATAGAAGGGAGCTCAATCATTTCAAGCCCAATGATCATATAATCAGTGTAATAATGAATCTTCTGCAATAACAAAGCACCTACTGCCGATACTTAAGATCTACCTAAGATCTACCTGGCGAAGTATGCCATCACATGTCTCTATCCGCCCAGTCAATGTATTCGCATACTGCCGATACTTCTCCTCTGTCTAAAGAAAGTGAACAAATAGGTGCAATACGTACAAAGTGACTATTAAACTCAGATAGTGATTAGATTTACAAATCCGAAAACTCACCTGATTTGTATTGACGAGAACGGCTTCTGCAGCTCCAGAGTGTTCGAAGCCCGAGGCGTTCTCCTTCGTGGAAACGGACAAGCCATTCTCCTGCCCGGAGGCACGGTCTTTGGCCTAAAATTTGACAGAATCTCGAGGTCAAATCAACTACTACACGAAAATCTTCCTGAACAAACTAAACGAGTAAAGCAAGTAGCAGAAAATCACACCAAATTGAGAGGAAACGGCCGATCGGCGACGGCATGAGAGAGAGTCACAATGGCGGCTTGCTGTTGCTCTGTCTAAGGAGCATTCTGCGGAGCCAATAAACAATTTCCATGAGAACAAAAAAAAAAGGAAAATCTGTGCACAGATCTGATGCTAATCCGATCTGAGCCTCGCTGATACTACTAACAATAACCAAATTCTACATGAAAACAGAGATTAATTCAATCGACAAGACTTAAAATTGATGAATTGAGATCCGAATATGCTAGATCTGGTTTTAGCTTTCGTTGTCGGTTGTGTTCGAATTAACCCGAGAGAAAGAGGAAGAAGAAGATGATGATGAAGGTTAAGCTATGGAGACCTGTTCCCAGTGAGAAGCGAAGTTATAGCCCTTGGAAATGGCTCCGCCGGACTTGGGGACTCCGCCGCCGACAATCGCAGGAGATAAACGGAGAGAGGGAGTCCGAGAGAGAGAAGAAAGATAAACGGAGGGAGAGAGCTTTGGCTGAGAGAGCGAAGGCTGAGGCTGAGGGAGGCTGAGGCGAGAGAGCACGAGAGGAGGTTGCGAGAGGAGGTTGAGAGGCTGAGAGTTTCAGGGAGTGGCTGAGGAGATGTGCGCACGAAGAGGGTTATTTTGGGAATAACAAAAATTTCATTAATGAAATGCTTCAGATTCCCACGCAATCTGAAATCAGAAACAGCAAGTGAGCTGCTTCTGATTTCAGATGAAAAACAGCTTTCAGATTCTCTAAGAATCCATTTTTATGTGTTTACTAAACATAATTTTTAGCTTCAGCTGAAAAAAAAAAGAGTGATTTTGGCTTCTCAAAATCTCTACCAAACAGAGCCTTTATCTTCTAAGGACGAAATTTTGATATTTTGGCCTCGTTCGTTTCGCTGATTCGAGTTTAGAATTCGAGTTGAGATGTGATTTTATGTGAGAGCTTTTTACTGTAGTAAAAAAGTTAGATGTGACTATTTATGAGAGCTTTTTACTGTAACAAAACTCAAATTCTAAACTCGAATCAGCGAAACGAACGAACGAGACCTAGTCTTTGTAAATTGATTATATGTTATTACGTGTTATATTGCTAGAGGTTGTTTACTATTCACTTTTGCTTTTCTATTTCTTATTTATGAATGTTGTTGCCTACATGAATTTATCATGTCTATTTCTATTCTTCTCTCTTCCATTTAACGTTTTCTTTCTTGCTTTCACCTATGATCATTTAGTGTTCTCCTTCTTTATTTTTGTATCTTTCACTACCTGTTATCATGCATTTTATTTGTTTTTTAGTAACATGTTTCTCCCAATAGATTCTTAATACTTTTTGCTGATATTGAACATACTAGTTTTTTTGTGCCATTATTAATATTTACCCTTTTTCTTTCAATTTCCTTTTAGTGTTAATAATTATTACTTATCTATTTAGATTTTTTTTTCTTTTATTATGTACTTCATTAGTTAGTAGTCCTTAGTTGTTAGCTTGCTATTTATTTATTTCTTAGTAATGTATTTAGATACATATTTTTATTTCATATGTTTTAGTTTTAGTCTTCTTTTTTTTAATGACAATAATGAGTACAATTGATTTTGGCGCCTTGAGTTTTATACGATTTGTCTAGAGATTGCCTTGAATTATTTGATCCTTATTTGAAATTTCATTTTTTCTATCCTTCTTAATTAAGAACTTTTGGTTGTTTCTTTCCTGTTCTTTTTAGTTATTCTCATACTTTGCTCCTTTTTTTTCCTTTGTTTGAGGGCAGCGGTTTTATATAAGTCTTTTCGCGTTTGAGGATGTAGTTGTATTGTTTTGCCCTTGGTTTCTTATGCCTCTCTTTGGTTTATGGTTGGAGTTTTTGGTCATTTCATGGAGGTGATGCTCTACTTCCTATCTCTTTCTCATCTTTGTCCTTCTCCACCTCCTTCACTCTCATGCTCCTTTCTCAATTTCTTTGACTTTTTGATCGTTTTTATTCTTTTTATTATTATTATTTTGAGTCATTTGCTTCTTTGCTTTTTTATGATATTTACCAATGACCCATACTTATTTTGAACCCCTGCTATTCTTACTTTTACTACTTCAATTGACAATCAATTACTTATGTAACATATTCTTTTTCATTTGTGTTTTATCTTTTTAATCTCTCTATTTTAAATAATTGAATGAAATATTTCTATTGTTCATCCAGACTTAGTTTACTATACATATTACGCTTTAATGACGACTTTGCTCCTTTTTTTGGCATCAATTTTCTGTTTTTGAGTAGGCAATATTTAATCTTCTTGAAGTTTAGGCTGTGTTTTTACGGTTTTGCCTTTGGCTTTTTTTTTTTAGTTCTCTTTGTTTTTAGGTTGAGACTTTTAGTCATTTAATGTAAATGAGGTTATAGCGTCTCTCTCTTCCTCCATTTCTTGATGTTCTTGACCTATTTTACCTTTTCCCGCTATTTTGGTCTGCTTTGCTTTTTTCATTTATTTTTTGGTTTGTCCCTGCTCCGTATATCTAATAAGATCTCTCTTTTTTTTCTCACTCTTTTAATTCAACTGGTAGTTGCTGGACAAATTTATATTTTACTCTGGTTGCCCATACTCTGCCACATACAAATTATATTTGTATGATGGATATAATATCTTATTAATTTTTGTGCCTTTGTGCAGTTACCCTTAGTAGGCAGCCACAAAAAGGCTATAAATATATAAGTTTATTTACTCATCACACAATGCTGAGAATGTATAATATCTTAGCCATATTTTTTGCATAAAAATATTGTCACATTCATATTTTATTACTATTTTTTATTGCCATTTTCATCTGCTCATTTGTTTATTCATTCACTTACTTATTTATCTATATTGTTTCAGATTTTATATAATTTAGTACTTTAACTTCCTACTGTTGTATCCTTCACTATTGTTCACATTTGCTTCGTCGGTGTTTGGGATTTGGGGCGGCACTTGCAGCGTTTAAAGTATTCTTAATAGTTTTTATCCACAGGTTTTTAATAAGTGTTATTGGTACTTGATGTATGAGTTTGCTGTGAAAATGTTCATGTCCATTCTCTATGCTTCGCTATGTTTATTTGCATTTGTCTTTGTCATTTTATTAATACATATTTCTGATGTAAAACGCTAAGAAAAGTTTCCTCTTATTCTTAAGAAATATTAGTAATCTATACCTTTTAATCTTTCGTTTTATAACTAAATAATTTTTATATATGAACACCATTTTTATTTTTTTCCCTGCAGCTATATATACATATATATTTTCACTTAGCAGATTCCAATTTTAATTGGCATTTTTGTGTGGCAATGACAATTATAGTCGTGTTAATTTAGTAGGTTGTTCTTAGACAATTTTACATAGTTTTTTCCCTTTTTCCTTCATTCTTTCTCTCTGCAGTGAACAAGGAGTTTTTGGTGTCACTTAGTACATTCCAGATTTAATTGGCATTTTTGCATGGCAATAATGCTTATAGTCATGTTAACTTACTAGATTGTTCTTAAACAATTTTACACAGCTTTCTCCTTTTCCCTTTATTCTCTCCATTTTTGAACAATAAGTTTTGGATGTGTTTAAATTTTAGGTTGTGGTTGTACCAGTTTTAGCCTGGTTTCTTACTCTTCTATATACAAACTAATCTTGTACTCTAAAAATTATCAACTTTTTATATGATCCATAACTAACTAATCATGTACTATAAAATTTATCAACTTTTTATATATCCATGTAAAAATTATCAACTTTTTATATAATCCACGACTATTACCCGCTGCAATAAGCAGGGAAAAAACAAGTACAATTTGAAACTTCTTGTTTTCTTTTTTTTTTTTTTTTTTTTTTTTTTTAAGAATGCCATTTGAATCTTCAAAGTAGACAAAGATATAGAGGCCGTTTGGTAGAGGGATTCGTTCCCTGATTCGAATCATGATTCGTAGTTCGCTACAGTATTTTCTCTCATAAAAAATACACATAAATCAAAAATAATTCGAATCACATGGTTTGAATCCTCTAACCAAACGTCCTCTTATCAACTTCCAACGCTCCAATTCCAAACAAAGCTAGCCGCCACATTTAAAAAACAATTCTAAACAAAGCTAGCCGCCACATTTGAAAAGCGTGACACCACTCATTAAAGCAACAACAATATCTAAGCACAAACAACACAATTATATGACGATGTATATACAAGGAAAGAAAGACATTGTTTAACCAAAAAGATGAGTGGAATAAAACACGGAAGGGTGTACACAAACGGAATATGGATGCACATAGCAGAGAAAGGGGAAGGCCCGGGACCACTGGTGCTGCTCATCCATGGCTTTCCTGAGCTCTGGTCATGTTGGAATCATCAAATAACTAGCTTGGCCGAACATGGTTTTCGTGTCGTTGCGCCGGATATGCGAGGCTATGGAGATTCAGATTGTCCCAAGGATCCATCTTCTTACACACTTCTTCACACCGTTGGAGATCTGATTGGCCTTCTTGATGAGCTAGGACAAAAGGAGGTACTACAAATTTTTTTTTTCTTTTTGTTTAACTAGAAGACTAAGGCCCCGTTCATTTCACTGATTTGAGTTTTGCTACAGTAAAAAGCTCTCACAAACAATCACATCTAACTTTTTTGTTACAGTAAAAAGCTCTCATATAAAATCACATCTCAACTCGAATTAAAAACTCGAATCAGCGAACTAAACGGGCCCTAAATGATATAGTTTTAGTTAATTGATGTTATTGGCACTAATTTGCAAGAGAAGGATGCTGTTACTGATATTGGTGTCGTCTTTGAGCAATTTTTTCTACAGCATGATGATAACCATTGTTGGGCTCATTTCTTATATATCATACTTATGGTTTTAGGACTAGAATAGTACTTTTTTGACATAGTATCATGGCCAGATTTGACGTGAAATTCATATGACACTATTCCAATACAAATCTAGGATGGGATTAGTTGTGAAGAGAGTGGGAAATATTGGTGTTGCTTGTTTAGTATGTTAGAATAATGCTAAGGGCCGTAATTTATTATCTCAACTTTAACATAAATGTTGGTAATTGACAATTTCTAGCAACAATTGACCTAGTAATATATTACACCGACTATAATAAGATGACAACTGATCACGTAACTTAATGTTAAAAGTTGAGATAATAATAATGAATCCTAGCATTAATTATGTATATGCATGTTACAGGCACGGATCCATAATCCCGCTGAGAAAGTTGAGAAAAGAAAATATAAACTATAACTATATTAACGAATGTGTTTTTTAGTACTCTTTTATGAGGCTGTACCCCTCTAGATCGGGTGTATTGGGCTTTTTTTCTTAAAAAAAAAAAAAAGAAAATTATAGAATTTATTTTTAAAAGTGCATGAATTTAGATTTTTATTCTTTAATTTTGATTAAGACCATTTTACTAATATAGTTATTTGATTAAAAAAATTATTAATCTTGACTCATACATTTTTAAGAGATATTTGTCTCATTTCTCCTTTCTTAAACTTATTTATTCTGGGCTGGTGACTTTTTCCTAACATACTATTTTTTATGCATCTCATTATCTTCAAATCTTTGTCCATTTCAACACTTTCAAATTTTTTCCCTTTCCTTTTTTTGATTTTTTTTTTTTGGCTTACTCACATTAGTAGTTTTCCTAGTTTATTGTCTTGATATCGTTGTTTGGCTGTACCCAAATTTCTTGTTTTATTTTTAAAAAAAAATTATAGTCATTGATTTCTATCGAGAAAAAATGATAATATATTTTGTTTTTATTTATAAATTGTGCCCCCATTGAATTGAAAATCTGGCTCCATCACTCGCATGTTATGTTGATGGCTTAACTTGATTACGTCATTGAAGGGTTTGATGGCAAGAAAACTAGCACAATAATACTGACTAATATTGCTCATTCTTTAAAAGTCATACATTACATATATCAATAAAATCTAATGATATTGGTATTATCTTAATCATACTACGCTACACAATTTTGAATTTCCCCACATTATTAAGAGTCTCTCTGGTACTTTTGTGCAACATTTTATCTCGTAATGAATAATAGATATGTGTTGCTTGTTGGATGTCTGAAGTCTAATCATCACCATGACGCGGAGTTAGCAATACGGATCGACTTTAAGTAGGAGTATAGTGTGGTTTCTTCACACACAAGGTATTTCAGTTACCTTAATTGCACATATATTAAGGGGGGTTGATTTTTAAAATAAAATTAGAGAGAAATACAATGAGTCCAAGCAAATGAAATTCTCTTATATTCTTTTTTTTAATAATAGACTTATATCGGACTGTAAGTAGACGTAACTCTCGCGTTAAAAGTGAATCATTGAAAATTTTGTGGCTAATTTCTTGTTGTTCTTTTATTTTATCGCTCTCATTAGTAAGAAGTATTAGAGCGTATAATTCCGACAGTAAAATTGCTTTATGGTGAGCAGGCATTTGTGGTAGGGCATGACTGGGGTGCAGAAATTGCATGGCACCTTTGCCTTTTCAGGCCAGATAGAGTTAAAGCACTCGTCAATTTAGGCATCCCATACAGGCCACGTTCCCCAAAGATCAAACCTCTTGAATTCATGACCAAAGTTTTTGGAGAAGGATTGTACATTCACCAATTTCAGGTAAATATAAAAGAAAACCAAACAAAAGTGTTGCTGATAAACTAGTACTATGTTAAGGACTTTCTTTTGTAGTTGCACATGTGATGTAATATTAAACTATAATTTTCCAAACCAAAATATTGCAGGAACCAGGAAGGGCAGAGAAGTCATTTTCCAAACATGATTGCTTAACCATACTGAAGAAGTTTTTACTGATTAATGGACCTGATCCTCTAGCTGCTCCTCCTGGTGTGGAGATCATAGATTTTCTTGAAACCCCATCTTCATTGCCTCCATGGATTACCGAGGAAGAGCTTCAATTTTGCGCATCCAAGTTTCAAAAGTCCGGTTTTACCGGGGCATTGAACTATTATCGCGCCATGGACATGTGAGTTGTGTGCAGTTATATTTCACATTTTTATTTTTTTTTACTACATTAAATATTATATTTATTGTTTATTTTCTAAACAATACGTATTTAACATCACCGGCCGAATTTCAACTTTCCATGGAAAATGTGTTTATTCTTGTTTTTAAACGATGGGTTGTTCGGGAATTTTTTTTTTTTTTTTTAATGTTTACTTTAAGATTGTGCTCTCTTTAGAATAACCAATCTTGTATTAAATGGAATGGGCTGACTAATTTGAGCTGTTTGAGTTTTGATACCATGTAGAATTTGTACTTTCTTAGGATTCAGGCTTTCATCTTAAAAGGTCGCCCATGATAAGTAGAATGACCTAATATATGTGTATTCATGTATTATTTAAGGCTATGTTCATTTTACAACTCAAGTCATAACTATGACTTTATGATTTCAGTTGTGTATATAAGAAAAAAACATTGTAACAAAAAAATTGAATTTGAATTTTTGTGAGAAAAAACACTGTAACAATAAAAATTGAGTTGTGACTTGAGTTATGAAATAAAATGATATGGAAATTGGATTCTTACTCTTCACCCAAAAGTTACTAGCTAAAATGACTTCTCCAAGAGAACTCTCTATATTTTAGTTAAATTTTAACTAAAATGACTAAAAAGTTATTTTTAACTGGGAACTTTTAGATGATCTATTCCAATTAGACTTCATATTTATTAAATTTAAATATAAATAATTTTATTGAATTTATAAAAGAACATTTGCATTTATTGTGGTTTGAAAGAATAAAAATAAATAAATGATGAGTCCCTTCTTGCTAACTATAGTGTAAAATGTATTTTTTAAAATAGCTAACCATTTAGCTAATGGTTGAGCGGAGAAAAACTAAATAAAAGATTAAATTATTAGCCGTTTTAGTTAAAATGATAAAACGATTGGCATGGAAACGTGGTGTGAGTTCGTCACTATAAGAGATTATTTTATGTGATCACAGACTAATAATTGACGGATATATTATTACAAACTCTTTATATTCTACATGTTCTTCTGATTTTCTGCTGAATTTGAAGCATTGAATTAATGCAGGAACTGGGAAGTGTGTGGACCATGGCAGGGAGCAAAAATTAGTGTCCCAACAAAGTTGATAGTAGGTGACGAGGACATGGGATTTCAGTCATTTGGAACAAAGGATTACATAGAGGGAGAAGATTTCAAGAAGCTTGTACCAAATGTTGAAGTGAAAGTCATTGATGGACACCATTTTATCCAGCAAGAGAAAGCTGAACAAGTTACAAATGAAATCTTATCCTTCTTCAAAAAGATATCTTCTTCTTAATTAAAAAAGAAAAAAAAAAAAAAAAAAAAGAGGAGTTATGTTGCACAATGCTGTAGTACTCATTGAAGTTTTTTTTTTTTTTTAAATAAAAAAAAAAAAAAAAAAAAAAAAAAAAAAGAGTTATGTTGCACAATGCTGTAGTACTCATTGAAGTTTTTTTTTTTTTTTTTTCCTTTTAATTAATTAATGTTGATGCACATTTTTCAACAGAAGCAAGTCTATTTAACTGATTTTATGTGATGTAATATATCTCATCTTCATTCTTGATTGGGAATTAATGTGGAAACATCTTCATGTGCATCTAGATAGGGAAGCCTATACAATATGGTTTCAATCAATACCAAATGGGGCTTTTCAGCTGCTCTTTTAAGTGCAAGAGCTACATATATATGGGAACCTAACTAGTTGTGATGGTATGGGAAGTTGTGGAAGGCTTTAAAAGCCCCCGTTGTCGCACACCAACTCCATGGAATATATATATACACATGCATATATATATATATACAAATATATACACGAGTTTTTAATAGTTACATTTTACCTATCAAATATAATAATTTAATATTAATATAGCATGATAAGAAATCACTCTCATTAATTATTATAAATTTATTTGGACAACTAACTAATTTATTATAACTATTTGATGAATATCTTATAATTAAAACAATAATATTCACCAATAAATAACTACCGGAATAATCCTTAAAATCACACTCGTATTTATGTGTATTCAATAAGCATGTCGAGAAATTCAAAATGGAAAGGAAGAAAACAACCCCCGAGAGATGATAATGAATGGAGCTCCATAAGTTGAACATGTCACACAAATACAATAGCATTTTTTGCTACATTTTTTTCTTACTTTTCCTTGATTATGCACCTCTATATATACAAACTAACTAAAAGAATCAAAGAATTTAAGTCTGGTTTGGTTGGCCAATTCACAAAATTCTTTTTTTTTGTCCCTTAAAAATCTTAATTAAATGGAGTACTTTGTACAATTTATTAGTTTTAAGCACCTAACTCTAACTAATTAGAGTAAAAAGTCACAACTTCAAAGCTTAGACTCGTCGATCAGGAAGTTGGACTTTTAACAAATTTTCATTTTGGAGTATGCTAATTCTTATGCATGCAGTATTTGTGCTTATCTAATTAAAAACTTTAAGTTAATTGCCAATTGTCACATTAGAAAAAAAAGAGTTTTAATATCAAGGACTATAATACATTTTATTTCTCTTGCATTGTAGTCTTTTGCGCAAAATTTTCAATGTTACGACTCCAACAAAAAAAAAAACAAAAAAAAAAAAAAAGGTTGACAATACTGTCTTTTTCCCTTTTCTATTAAATCATAGATAGATTTTCCTAACGTCTAAACAAGAAGGAAAATATTGTACATTGACATTTGATGCCAACATTAATCTTGCCACTTCTATTAGTAGATATTAATGAAACTTCCCAACAATTTATACAAACTAAAAACTGTACCAAGCACCGACTCTCCTAGGCAAAACCTAATTATTGTTTAACTTCCTTTTTTTTTTTTTTTTTTTTTTTTGCCCATTGGAGTGCCTAAATCAATAATTCCAATTTTAAAAATGTTTTTATAAAAAATTTATATGGACGTTAGTTAAGTCCAAAATAATTAATGAATCTCATGGGGGCCACATGGCAAACCAAAGGCCAGCACGTAGATCTTGCATAAACCAAAATTAAGATAATGTATATCTAATCAAGCATTAAAATAAATAAGTTCTACTTAATTCTAGATTGTTGGCTCGTTATAAGCCACCTTATCCTTTATTCTATAAGTATAACCAATTTAAAATATAAATTGTTTCATTGAAATTGCCAACTGTAATCTAGTTTGTGTAGCCGGGTAGGTAATCTATGTATATTAATATATTAACATAGTTTAAAAGCAAAATAATTTAATTAATTAAACAAAGAGAGATAAAATTTGGCCAAGTATATAGTTGACATGACATATTGGCAAAAAAAAAAAATTTTGAAAAAAGCATAGCTTTATCTGAAACGTGGCAGTTATTGGTGAAGTTTTAAACCACTAAATTTATTCTAGTTTATTTATGACTATTTTATTTATTTATTTATGATTGTTAATTTAGGATTAATTACAAATATTTCATTTGAACTATGACCCTTATAATACTTTATTTTTTGAACTTTCATTCGTAGTTCTTTCTGATCTTTACTCCGTTAATAAATTTATCTTTTCTATTAATTTAAGTAACGGAAACAACCATATGAGTGGCACGTGACATAAAAATGAAATGTATTAAGGTGAAATGCCTTGTTTTCGTCTAGATTACCATTAATTTGAGGGGGTTTTAGGGTTGGAGAAATCTTGAAAAATTGAAAATTTTTGACAAAGCTTTGAGTTTAAATACCCAAATTCTTAGGTGACTCTTCAAAGTGTTTTTCAATATTAATCAAGAACTAAACCTCATCAAGAAATGCAGCATAAAAACCACCATTTCAACCCCATCAACATCATCGTTAAGGTCACTAAAAAAAGATTTTCAGCATAAAAGCTTAAAATAGATGTTCAACCTCAAAATTTGGTTTCAAATTAAAATATTTCAACAAAAATCCCCCAAAACTCTTCAAAATTATGTCTCTCACAAAATTTTTGAACATGCATAGAAACAAAAACCCCAAGGGTTGTTCTTTTGGAGTGTAATTTGAGTGTAGTTTTTGAGTTGAATTTGAGTTATTACTTGAGTTAAAGTTATAATTTGAATAAAATTGAGTAAAGTTGAATAAAATTGGATCTTAAAATAACGTGAACTTGAATAAAATTGTAACTTGAGTTTAAACTTTTTCTGAGTTTTGTTACAAAAGAACAACCCGCCAATTTAATTCCACCAATATTTCACAACTGAGCAAGATTGTATAAGCTATGGAACTTATAAAAATACAACATGTTTTCTTAAAATATTCATTACAATTTCAGACATTACAAGAAGAACATCCAACAAAATTAAGTATAAATGGAGAACAAATCTGATTTGTAGTCTAAATCTTTTACCCCATCTCAACTTTGGTTAAAAAATGATCAAAGATTCTTGCTCTCCACAAGTAGCTCTACGTCTGCTGGTAAAAAAGCTTGGAGTTTGTAAGTTGTTTTGAGGTTAATTTTTCAAGTTACCCATCACTGACGTTACACATTCCAGTAGCCAACACAACCGGCATCCATGAATGGAAATTGGAAACCTTCAACACAATGCAAAAATGAAAGAGGGACCTAAAGGAATTAAAACGAAAAGAGAAACCACAAATTCATCTGATTATGGGGGCAAAAGAGTAACTGCATATTTATTATCTCATTAACAATAACTAAACGTGTAACGCCCTTTAAAAATTAAACATGTTTAATTATGCTAAACTGTGGATTATTAGTGTGCTTAATTTAATTTTCATAATTAATCAAGGGACTTTAAGTTATTTTCAGTATTTACAATTTCATCCCAAAATTTTTTGGAAAACACACTTAAATTTAATACATTTTTCCTTTTTTCCATTTTTCTTTTTCCTTTTCTTTTCTTTTATTTTTCTTTTTCTTTTTTTCTTTTCTTTTTTTTCTTTTCCCCATTTCCTTCCCGTGCGCCCAGCCCCCCATTCTCTTTCTTTTTCTTTTTTTCTTTTTTTTCTTCTTCTTCCTTCCCTGGTTCTCCCACGCACAGCCATCTCTCTCTCTCTCTTTCTCCATTTTCTTCCACCGCCGGCCACCTCCTTCCCCAGGCTTCCTCCCGCC